TATGATATGTCAGAGGAGAGAATTATTTTGTACCAGACCTGCTTTTTACGAATGTGAATCGATGTGGGAGCGAATGAGATATGCTGCTGATGCTCATGGATGAAAGTTTCTGGAGACTGAGTTTGATCTTTGTATCAGCGAAATGTGTTTGTGATTCTGTGTTGTGAATAGATTCAATGAGCGAGAGTCGGATTTTTATTACGAATCTATAACTAAACAAAAATATGCGTCAATAAAGCAGAAAAACTCGAAGGAAAAAAAATGTGGGTGTTTTTATTGTCACAGAAAAGCTGAATGGGGACACACAAAAAATCTGATTTCTTGTTCCTCCAGCATAAATTTATGTTTCTTCATCAAAATGTCAAAAAAATTGTAGGATAATTCTTGACTTTTTCAAACATGTTCAAGATGTTACTCAAAAGAATACAGAAGTTTTTTCTGCGGTTCAGCAATCCAAAAACAACTGATACAAAACTAAAAAAAGAAAATGCATGCAAATGTTCAGTTTCTGAGCAGTGGTTCTCCTATAAACTTGTGAAACTTACACAAAAATGCAGATAAAAACAACATATTGAACCAATCCAAAGGGGGCTGAATACTGAATGTCAATTTTCAACCTACTGATTTGATAGCTCATGCCTGATGGGGATTTGCATGCTTCTCAGAGGATACATTCCCAGCTAAAATGTATCCATACTGTTGAGCAAGTGCACCATTATTGATATAATTTCTGAGAATTAGCTAGACTTTCATCCTCTCCCTTACAAATGCCTTTTTAAAACCTAATGAAAGGTAATTATTATACAGTATGTTGAGTTGATCAAACAAGAGAAGATATTGAGAATTAGCCCTGCTCAATCTTGTAGCAGTTGAAGAAAAGTTTGCTGAGTAGTTGTTGACCTGTGTGGAATACACCTTATTGTTAAAACCAGGAATTCCAAGAAGCCCCTGTCCTGGACTCATTACTGTCTTATATTTACATAACTTTACTCTTCCAATCCAGCTTGAACAATAATTTATATTGAGGTGACATCTGCCCCAATACATTTACTGTAAAATATTCTAATTTCTTTCTTCATCTGGTTAATTCTAATTTTCTGTACGCAAAAATGCACCATCATTTTATAAGATGCAGTGCCAAAGTTTGGAGAACAGAATGGAAAAGCCTTACTGCTTATATCAGATCTACTTTTCCTAGTCAAGAAATGACAATCTACCTTTCCCATGGTCATCACCACATGACTCCACTTGTAAAAAGTTGAAACAAGAAAATTGGGTGTACCTAAGGTAAGCGTGAACACATGTCATGAAGTTAAAACGGGAATTTTCCAACAAATTTCTCTATAAAAAGCATGACCCGCTTTTTGAACACCAATGCAGAAAACATATATTAGTAGGTGAATTACAATTATGCCTGAATTATTTATTCCAAGCATCAAGAAATTGAGCAACGTTCATCTTTTTGTAAATAAATATCCCACGGTGCTTCTTTCTCGAATTCTGAGAAGCTTTTGTCTGCATTATTTCACCAGAATTTTGAAAATACCCCAATTTCCACGTAAAACATGGTTTGGATTACGGCTGACATCGCAAATTGTGGAATTCTTCCTTGACTTCAATTTCTGTGAAACCTGACGGTCACGCAACGACCTAAAATAAGTTACTGGATGGATGTTCACAGTGAATGACAAGCACACGACAAGAAGGCCCAAAACAACGTATATTTTGTATTCAACATGCTTTTGTGAATGCCACGCAATGGCGAATATTTGAGCAATTGGAGTCATCATCAAGGCCACAGGCATTTCCACGGCGAATACCCAATACAAAATAGAAATATATCTTCCACGTCAGGTCGTCCCAATAATGCTTGAACACATACCGAGTTCACGTACAACAAGCAGTGTTGAAAGTTCTTCGTACAAAAAAAAACAAACAAACCAAATGGACCCTCACAGTTGTTATTCAACGCTTTGAGCTCTCAGTTCAATGATGACGTTGTCCAGGTAGAAATGATCCGGATAACCCGCGGGAGGCCCGCCATGTTTCTCGGTCTTGTGATGAATTCCGTTCCAAACCACCACATTTTTCTCACCCGTCGTGCAGGTTGAGCCAATGGTGAAGATGAGGCCACGAGACCACGCCTTGTACAGCAAGCTCAACACCTTCGCAATAACGATATTCATTAAATCATCGCTACCGAAATAAATAGCACGCGAAAAAATCGAAAACGAACATTAAAAATTGTGGGTTTCGAAACGAAACAAGATTCCATAAATACTGTACAAGACATCCTAATTTTTGCAAGGAAAGGAGTGCATCTTTGTTGCATAACGGGTCGCACTGTGCATTCAAGTTTCTTCTGAGGACCTCTTGAACTAATTTCGAAAAATTATGGAAATTATATCTTCTTCTCAGAAACAGCAATATTAGATGGTTTAATTTTTGAATACTTTCCACAAAAAGAAACAATTTTGAAGGACAGAATTCATCTTGCAGACTTTAAGAAAATTACTGACTACAATATCGCAGTCCGCATTTTTCTTAAAAAAAAAAAGAACTTAATAAGATTATTTTCGAAGTGAACGTGAATTTCCCCCAACTTTCAGAACAGCTTGGTAATGTACAATGAAATATTTCTTCAGAAAATATTTATTCAATAAAACCTTTCTTTGAGTTCTTTTTTTTGGCAGAATTTCAGATAACAGCCGGGAGTGGGTTGATTTCTCATTCTGAATAACAACTCTTCCAGGGTTTAGAATAAAAAATTTTTCACGTCACCCTTACACAGAAAATTCACAGAAAGCCAGTCGAAAGCTATTTCCGTGCACTTTTTTCGAACGAAGACGCAATTAAAATTTTTTGTCGACCAATACGAAATCGCCCCATTTGTAAAAACAGGCGCGGCAACAGCAACGTAGAGAAAAAAGGCAGAAATTTCGGCCAGGCAACACGTGTAAGGGACAGGTGGCGCTAGCTGTCCCCTCCTACCTAACGCATGAAAAACTCCAAAACTGTAGTTAAAATGAACTATTCCAACCTGGAATTCCAGCGTGGTCCATTTTCAAGATTATAAAAAGTCAGTCTCGAATTGCACTTCGTTTCAGTCGGTACACATTAGCATTCTTTATTTTGCGTGAAATTCGAAATATAGTTTTTTATACTGTAGTAGTAGTTATAATATAGTTTTTTTGGAAGCCTTACCAAAGGCTTCCCTGCCGAGTTTCCCGGCGGTTCGTCTGTTTCATTACCTCAATTAAATTTATTGTTTCAGCCGTTCTTTTTATTTTGCTTTTGTGTGGCTCGTGTCCCACAACACGAGTAAGCAGCAAAAATCGCACAAAAAGCCTTGCACTCACTTTCTTTCCTTTCTGATTATTTGGAAGATAACATTTTTTCGGGAAGCCTCTCACGATGAACGGCTTCCCGGGACAGGGATGGCTAGCCGTTTGCACGCCCGGGAAAATGCTGTAGGTGATCTCGATCGTGTTACAGTCTTCGTGTCCCGGGAGACAATCGGGCAGTAGACAGTGATTCATTTCTCCTGGTGGTTGGTTCCCTCGTTTTTCGCTGCCGTTTGCACGCCCGGGAAAATGCTGTAGGTGATCTCGATCGTGTTACAGTCTTCGTGTCCCGGGAGACAATCGGGCAGTAGACAGTGATTCATTTCTCCTGGTGGTTGGTTCCCTCGTTTTTCGCCGTGAACTGTGCCGCAATTCGGACACTGTACGTACGACTGGAAAAAAGGCATACAGCCAAAATTTTGCATTAAACAAATCTCCTCAATGTTAAATGCCCTCGAAAAGATATCAACCTCCTACAGGATTGATCAAACAAAAGTGCAGTTTAGCATTAGTTGTATTTTTTACAACGCCAACATTGGGGTAGAACTATAATTTCTGTCAAGGATCTCGCATTTGTCAGGGAAAAAAAGATGAAGATATTTTTTGAATCACTACAAAAATAGAAGGACCTAAATATAAAATTCAAATAAATTTGACGAACAATTAATTCTCTAAAAGAAGAAACTCAAATCTCACAGCAATACTCTGGAAAATTTTTGAAATTTCTAAAAAACATGTATTCCCGCCTATTTTGGAGGAAAATCGAGTAATTAGTTTTAAATGAACTATTTCATAAACCACCAAAATATTCCTAGAAAAATGGTAGCCTCTTATCAGGGTTTGACTGAAACTCATCGTACTCCCGGGTTTCCACCAAAAATGAAAAAAAATTGAAATACCATAACAAATAAAAAAAATTACAAGACTCACCAGTTTATTGCTTCTCTGCATGGCTCGTAAGCAATTCCAATGCATCGGGTGTTTGCATGTGTTCAAGGCGACAATGTGANTCCGGGGGTCGGTAAGCCCCTCTACTTCCAATGTCACACATGGCAGCCTCCATCGCATCCAGGAACACGTCATCCGAACAGGCAGACAAATGCGAAGGACTCGCAATCGAATGAGAGTAATAAGAGCCAACGGAACCAGCGCCTCTTTCACCAGTCACTCGAGTAGAGTTGGAATCCAAACTGAGGTACGTGGATATCGTATCCAAACTTGGGCGTCTCTCGAGAACGCCGCCGCCACTCGATGTTCGCGGGGAACGAACGGAAGCACCCCGACAATGATCCATTCTCGGAAACGTCTATAAACAGTACAGTACAAAATCAAAAATGAATGACGAAAAAATCAAGCTGTTGTCAATTTATGAATTTTAGAAACTGCTCTCCTACACCTCAAACCAGAAAATGCATTAAATTCTTCCGAATCTGTATTTAAAATTTACACTTTTGATATAAGTTAATCCCCCACTCGAACGTACGCTCTCATTACAGCAATTCGCACTTGAAGCATTCATTGATGCTGAACCTGCGCCGGAATCAATTCGTAGAAAGTGAACGTACACAAAGGAAACACGAATGAATGGAAAACAATATTCCTATGAATAGTCGCAGTGAATTAAAATAAAATACAGGTCGAATCTCTCTACAACGAAATTTAGAAGGACCAAAAAACAAAGTCGGTATCAAGATAATTTTTTCGGAGTGGACCCTTAGTTCACAGACTTCTCGAGTAAAAAACATCCGTTCTTAACAAAACAAAATTTGGCTGAAACACTTTTGTCCCCTGACAAAAACTCTGAGGTTAAAAATGCAAATTTGGTTTGTCACACTGCAATGTAAGGTACTGTACAACCTAAATGCACTTAATTAATCGGTCAACTAATCTGAAAAAGCTTGCTTCCTGACACCTAATACTGTATTTTACTTCCCTTACCATGATTTCATCCTCAATTGGAAATTCTTCAATAAAAAAAAAACTTCTAAGAAGGAGCATCTGAGAGCGACGCTTTTCCACTGTCATTTTCGGTGTCTCACATCTTGGCTGATCAAGGCAAAAACGAAACATTTTTGTGATTTTACCTGCGTTGGGGTGTTATTGCCAAAAGGAGTTTTGGTCTTGTTCTTCTTCTCGGGCTCGTCTTTATTCGAAGAATGCGGGTTTTTGCCAGAAATGGAAGTGAGTTTCCTGAGGAATTCTTTCGCTTTCGCGGCACTCGCCAACGCGCCGTGATTCCGTTCCGGAGTCGCCGGCTGCACATTTTCTCCACACATCAAAATACCCGCGTTGGAGGAATGCGCAGTGGAGCCTTTCCGCTTTGTTTTCTCCTTGTCCTTGTGACCTTTCTTCTTCGAACGAGAACCAAGCGTACCATCCGCACTAAGTGTACTGATGGCGGAACCACCCGTAAGCTGGACAGCCAACGAAGCCGTCATGTGGTCTGTAAAGAGGATATACAGCGGTAATACCCCGTTTTGCATAATGGAATGTGTTTTTGGAAAAATAATCGAAGTTTCTGCGGATAATGTAATTTCCAGCATTATTTTTCATGCTACTAAAAATGTCTTTGGTTACATTGATTGTGTCAATTCTTCGCACTTCAGTGTTATTTCTGCTATTTTATTTTACACATTAATTTATTTATGAAGGAAATTTTCAAAGAATTTGGAACGGAATAACCACCTCACGAAGCTTAATACTACTCAGTTGAGAGATTTGAGGTCTGTAGAGAATTAGCCATTCAATAAAAATTTGAAATGCACCACAGGGCGACTTTCTGTAACGAAATTGAAGGGACAGAAAAAATTCGTTGCAGAGAACGAAATTTTTTTTTCTCTCCCCACGTCTCTATAACATGGGGAGAGAACCCTATGGAACGAAAAATAAACTCGTTATACAGAGAAAAGTGTTGTAGACAAGATCTTTGTAAAGAGAGTCCACCTGTGATAGGTTTCTCATTAAAACGAAGAGAGTCGAATCATTGAACGGTCTTTGAAAATGCCTGATGAATCGCAGCTTTCTTAAAAATTTTGAAGTTCGACCGCCGTTGATCAGGGCAACGGAAAAGGCACTTCCAGCTTAAATATTCCAGATACCTTTCTATGTCACAAAATTGTTTCACCGAGGTCAACATTAACTGTCGCGGGTCGACTAGATGTCACCCGCGGTTGCGCCACATTTCACAAGAACAAAAAGGAAACAGAAAGAACAAACATTGCATAATACTTGGAAAAATTCCATGAAGGTCAATACAAAGTTTGCAAACCTTTTTAAACAATAACCATTACAGACAATGACGAAAAAAGGGTACTTTCCTCAACTTCCAGAATGCACCCTCGCCAATCAAGATACAAAAATCGATAATCCAAGTTTTTTAAAAACAACAAAATAAAAATACCTGTGGCAAGAGGTTCAGAAGCGGGAACTTTAACCAATGGATATGACTGAATTTGGATCCGCTCAGTGCTTCTCACATGACCCGTATTGCACCGAACTTGCGTCATGTTGCAAAAGTTGATGATGTATGGAGTCGTCGGAAAGACTTGGCTCACATCAAGCGTTTGCTCTCCCTGTGAAAATCATAAAATATTATACAAATCAACCCCAAATGAACGGATGCAGGATAAAGTGAGCACCCAAACCCAATGGAGCGCCACGAAAAATGAGCTCTGCTCAATGAGCTGACATTTCAAATTCATTGACGATCAAAATACTGCATAACAACATTCCTCATCAGAAAAATGGTTTGAACATGCAAACGTTTTCTCGCACACTTCAACAATGGCAATTCGTGCTAAAAGATTCGGCATATTTTGTGAATCCTTTTTTCGTTTAAATTTTAATCGTGCTGTTGATGTCACACGAAAATATTCGAAAACAAATGAGAGATTATCTTGCCCCACAAGAAACAATGCGATTTAGAAAAATCGGAGGATGCCTCGTTTTTCTACAGTTGCATGGATCACTCCACAATCATGAATTTACGGAGACTCTCAATTAGGTGGCCAAAAAGAATGAACGTCTGTCTTAGATCTTGCATACACAAAACTCACCTTCATGTAAGCTTCTTCTATAAAACACTGCACGGCCATACCGTACGTATGCCAAGTTCCTGGGGAATCTCCGCTCCATTTCCAACAAACCCCCTTTCCCGGGGGACTGTTGGGACAATAAAGTTCTCTACGCACGCGCCAACTTGCTCCTAGATTAAATCAACAATAATTCCATCAACAACAATTGTATTTCCGAAATCCCATCTACCGATATTTTGAAGATTTTCTCCTTTCGTGTGAAATATTGGAATCGAACAATACCCTTCTCGCAAGTGTCATTCACGCTGGTCTTGAATCAACCTCTCGACAATTATATGAACAATATTCAATTTTCATCGATTGAACATCTACCAAATTTACAACGTGGATTCAGCATTTGATAGTATTCATTAAAGCTAAGATTTTCACGAGAAAAAAATTCCAAGATTCGAAGAATACCCTTTGGAATTGAGGTCGACTCTAAAGATTAGAATCTTGACGATATCCCACGGAAGAAATTTGACAAAACCTCTTACTAAGAATTGTCTTCAATACACTCCGACATGCATCTAAGACCGTTCTTCTCAACCTGAACTTCAGAAAAATCTGACCAAAGTTTTTTTCATTTAGAATTCTTCGGACTTCTGGTTTTCGTGACTCAAAAAAGTCTTCAGGGTCGTGCGGACTTCGAGCGAAACAATAAAGAAAGATTAAACAATAGAGATTTTAGGAATGTATTTCATTAGGAAAACTTTTCCGGAAACATAAATGAAACATGATTGGAAAACATTTATGGACAAAATCTCGAACACGCTGAATAAAATCACGTGTCACGAAAGGAAAAATACTCAAACCCCTTGAAAAGATTCACGAATACAGAAAAAAAATACTACGACTTCTATACCAGCAACATTAAACTCAAGAATAAAACCACGTGATTTAAAAAACTCCTTGTAAACTAGAAATGATATTTTTCACAAAATGGAGGCTCACCCGTATTGATACATTCCTGCTTGAAACACGGTTGCAGGTAGACTATAAACTTGGACAACGACGGATCAGAGTCACCCAAATAAACGCTCTTCAGGCCCTTCGTGAAGGAACGATCCAATTGTTGACAAACTTCCGGAGTATAAGGCCTCCATCTCCCGTATTTATTCTCCCACTCCCACACAGCAACAGCTTGTTTCGTCGCAACTTCGGACATCACTTCAACAATTACGTAAATTCAACATATCGAAAGACAGACCAGATAAAATGAACATAGTAACCTAGATAAAAAAAAAAGAAAAACCGATAAATAATAGATCAATCATATCGGAGTTTTAAAAATCGTAAAGAACAGGGATGTTTTCATCAATGCAGTCGGAGTAATTTCATCAGCGCTTCACTGATTCAGAAAATATTTCAAAATTCTTAGTTATCAACTTTTTAGGATTTACCCCGAAATCAAAATCGCCAGAAAACGTTTCCTGAATAAATAAAAAACTATTTTTCAGGCAAAAAGAATAGCAATGAAATCTTTTAGCAGCAGTGAAGTCAAAAATTAGATTTTGCATTGAAAATTAGAAAAAAAGCTCCGGTGAATTGATGAAAATTTTCCAGGAAAATAAAATAAGCGAGGTCTCAGAAATTTCATTCCCAGCTCTCACTTTTCTCCAACGCTAATCATAAAATACGCGATAAGCCAACGTATAACACAGATCAGTGACACAAGCATCAACGGAGGGACTTCTTTCTTTTTTGGACCCGAGATACTTCAGAAAGCCGTGACAACAATTTCAGTTACACAACTTCAATGAACAGACTTCAGCACAAAAACGAGACAAAAATTCATGCCTTCTGACGAATTTCCTGACGAAAGCAGGATTGCACGCATTTTTCGAAAAAGAATAGGATCCTATTCCCGCGATATGTCCTGAAAAAAACGCAGACTTCCTAGTTCCTACCAACAACTGACTAAAACACAAAGGACAACATACATTTACACCGCTGAACAATGGCCATGGCAAGCGGAATTGAATTAAATACAACTTGCTTCCATCGGGTTACATAACGATGGTGAAAACATATAAATAATGCATAATTCACAATTATCCTTTTCGATCAATTTTGAAATCATATTTGACAATATTTGGTAACAACCGGATTACAACTCATGTGCCATACATGCGAGAACAGTCAAGCGTTTTTTGTTCGTGCGACACGAACAAAAAAAATTTTCTAGCCACAACCCGCAAACAATATACCGAATTTGCAAAATCACACTTTGAAACTAAGAAAAAAGTCCCTATGGCAAGAAACGTATTACAATATCGAATTTCTTCGAGGTACGCAGAAGACCATGAATAAATTAAGCCACCGTTCAAAATTTTTCGATCGGGATTCCAGCAGATTTTCAAATGGAGTTTATGGATAACTTTATAATAAGCATAGAATAAAATATCAAATTAAAATGCGTCCTCAAACCCACCAAGAACAACACGAGACGATGAATATGGCAAGCTGAATCGAACACGAGACCACCTTTTTCAAGGTAAAAAATAATCATTGGATAAGATAAAAACGATAATAGACCATCCGAATTTTTCAATAGCATTTTCGATGTTCAACTTTCCTGTAAATTTGATAAGGCAACTCGTGAAAATAAAGGGCATAAAACGTATCACAGGGATACGGCACGAAAGAAAAATTCTCCAACGTTAAAAGGAATAGCTGCAGAAACTTGATTTTAAATGTCATCAACATTTCAAAAATGTGACAAGCTCAAATCCTTCATCGTTGGATGAATCTCATGATTACATAAAACACATTACTTTAGTTTCTCATTCGTAAAAAGAAGTTTAAAAAAGTCGAGGAAGCCTAATAGAACCTCCGCCAGGAAAAAAAGCGGCAAATGCAAATACTGTATACGGATAAGAGCCGTCGCCTTAAAAATACCCCCATTGGCATATAAATGCAACATATAAAACGCCGACATGAAGCAGAAACTAAAAAAAAAAAGGCGCAGGTAATAATTAACGAACTGACAATGAAAACAGCTAAAAGTACGACAGCATACAATTCTAGATTACAATTCCGTATACCATAATGGACGCACGATTCCCAAGTTCGTAAACACGGCCTGACACGTAAAAGTCACATTAAACGCAACAACTCCGTAAGCCAAATAGCTGCCCACGACTTCTATAACACGTCTCCTGGCATCTTCATCCATTCCCAAACTCAGGGGAGAATCCGCGTTCCCGAAAAAATATTGCAACACAGGTTTCGATACCTTCCGACAAATCGCTTTCGACGAAAGCAGTAACACAAGACCGATAACCAAGCGAAGTACGCTCAGTCCACACATTTCCATCGTTGGCCAGAGAACCGGATAAGGTGGGCGGGTAGCCTGTAAGTGTTAGAAAAATGGAAGTTATTCTAAATAAATTTCTTGCGACGCAAACCTGACAGAAACTTTAACGATAGTTCTATTTTTACTTCATTCAACGCCCATTGAAGAAGAAATATCTTTTGAATTTTATATTAAATACTGTACTGTTTATAATACCATGACCTCAAAAACCGTCATAATCCTTTTCTCAATCTCAATGCTGGGGGATACAGTTCATTTTTCACAAATGAGCAACAACGCTGAACACGTCAACAGTCATAAATTTTGCGGATAGGCCGCAGAATATTGTAGACAGCCTTGATGTCAACTTTCAAGATTCAATTTCGAAAACCGGAGAGATTTTCATAAAATTTTTCCACTCGATAAAATCATTAAATAATCAAAAAAGTCAGTGATATTTCATATATTTTTTGATAGTCGGGCTAAATACAATTACTAAATATGTATTGGCATTAGCGACACCAATTTTTTCAACTTGAGGTAAAATTATTTTATCCGACTACCAAAAATCCTAGAGAAAAGAAATTTCAGATTCCGTGCGGTTTTCGTCCGCACACTTCTTTCTTTACAGTATCTTGAAGTTGATATTTTGTTTTTGGGCATTATTTTAAATTTTTTCTATACACGAAAGAACCAATCAAATATGTTCGCATTGAAGCCTATCGGAAAATGTGACGAGAAACGCGGAGGCCCCAATAAATTCAGGAAGTATGATTCGCCCGTCTCTCACGAAGTGTACGAGAGTCACAAAAATGTTCAACGATTCACCGAATTTTAGAATTGGGAGAATTTTTTGAGCATCTCTACCGTCGTTGAAATTGAATCATTATTTTGCATCCTTGAATTGAATTTCTGCCAGACGAAAACACGTTAATAACGTTTTTTCTGCAATTGGGCAAAATACTTGCCAGGAAGAAATCCTGTGTACTTGATATGAAGTGATAACGGTAGCTCATCCAGGCCCCGAAGCAAATACCCGCTCCAGCAGCAGTCGTCACTGCTGTGTCTCCATGTGTTCGAGACCAAGTCGGGGATTTCGGGTAGAAATAGAGCAAAATCACGCTAGTCGCCAAAATCGCAAATGGACTCCACGGATCCGTCACCAAAAACGCATCCAGACTGTCCATGAAGGAAGTCAACAGCAGCGTTGATGCAATGCCAATTAGGAGACCGACGATCACGTCCTGTTACATCCATCAATAACAAATGCTATTTAGAATGTTACCCGTCTCGTAAATCTGGTCTAGTACTGAGACTTGGGATTTTGAACGATGCTTTTAATCAGCAAAATTCCTTTCAACTTTTACGCATCTTAAAAAACAATTTCTACGCTGAAGAATGAAGTCGCTATTCGATCAAGTACTTCTTGTGATCTCACCACTCCACAAAAATAAAAATCAGGAATTGTAAATGGGGAAAATGCTCAGAATTATTTCATTCCTTTTGATGACGTCTGAGGCTTTTTAGCTACTTGCTCATAGAGAAATTGCTCTTCAGTTAATGTAATTGCTCTTTTGTGGAATAAAAACGGAATGTATTCACAGATCGCGTTCATAAATTGTCAAAGCAGACGTCAGCTACCAGTCCAATCGACTTTAAAATAAGTAATGACATTGATATTTTTACAAGTTCGAAGGATAATTTTTGCCAAAAACTCGATACACGACCATTATTTTTCAGCTTCATTCGGGATCATTATTATTGCACAATTAGCAGTACACCATGGATGACAAAGATTTACTAATTTTTTTTTGCTGAGATACTGTATATTTGGGAAGAATTTCTTACTTACCGATACAGAATGCATTCCAAGATACAGTCGACTTCCGACAACAATCAAGCAGTAGAAGAATGCTATCACGACTCCAACTTCCACAGGATACTAAAAAATAGACAGATAATTACCGTGTCATCGCAATTTCGAGCACACTTTCTTTTCGGGGGGTATCGTGAAAAAAAATTGGATGATCAAAATAAAATCGAAGCATGTTTACTTCGAAACTCGCCCGCGAAAGTTTGGACGCAGCCTATTAAATATAGGCCTTCTTCTCATGCAGCTAATGACGAAGATATTACGATATTAATGATCAAATTATCCTTCTAATCAGGTTTTATGGTTAAATCACAATCTTTCCCAAGCCGGTTTTTCACCTGTCCCTCGGTCCTTCAGGCTTCAATATCAAAGCAAGTCTGCCCCTCTCCATTTTTCCGAATAACGTACAATCCCAGGATAATTTTTAATTGGACCCCGAAATTTTGTATGTTTTAGCGACCTACGAGTTTTTACCCTAACAATGCCAGCGACAATTTGGTATTATTTGAAGACAGGGATATTTGTATGGCCAAAACAAACCTCATATCGACGAGCAGTAAAAATCACAGCGGACACTGGAATGAGGAAACCAATCATAGCGTGCGTGGAAGGCATGCCTTGTTCGGAGGCGTATTTCTGTTCAAGACGTGCTACCGGCGGACACGCCGGTCGCGGCCAACAAACAATATCTTTCAAGGCTTGCCCTGAATAAGAATTAATGAAAAAATAACCTCAGTCCATTTCCAAGATGAAAAAAAAAAACACTGTATAGCAAAAACATGAAAAATTTAAATTTCGAAGAAAAAAGTGAAGGAAACTCACCGAAATACATGGCGATCGACCAAGTGATGCACAACTGCCTTCCCACAGCTCCATCAATGTTCCAAATCCAAAAAGGGTAGAAAGATATGTAAAAACGATCATCACCGAGAAATGCTCCCAAGCAAAACAAGTAATACCAAAACTTGTTCTCTATCTTCCACCCAAAATCACAACTCCTTTCTTTTTTATCACCACTGCTGTGAAGGGATTTGACTCCAAAAGCGCGTTGGAACTTCACAACCAGTTCCGGATCGTTGTAACGCTCCAAAGCCCTCCCGATAGGGCTGAAAATATCTTTATATGTAGCAGGCATTGATCTGCTAAAAAAGATGAGCATAAAAAAATATTTCGTCCCAAAAATTCAAACTACGAACGCTTTAATGCGAGGTAAACAGCGTTCAATTCCTCCGAATAAATTCTCGAAGCAAACCAAAAATCTGAATGAGAAATACTGTATGCCATTAAATGTAAAAAAAAAAATAAAGAATTAAAATTGCGCTCTACATTCCGGTGGAAAAACCTTTACAATACTTCAGGGCAAATTCGGTTGCCTCATTTTGATGAAAACTTATCCAGAGGAATGAACAGTAATGAATCTAGAAGTCAATTTCGAAAAACGCAAGCAGCTTCCACAATTACATTCGTCTTTTTTATAGCCCAAGATTCGGTAACGAAAAAGAAGCTTCACAAAACAAAAACCACGACATCACCAAATTCTTTCGAATACTGAGTAAAATGCCGTTTTCACTTTTTCGTTCCACGTCGCTTCATGGACACTGTACACCTCGGGCAATACCACTTACCCTTCGGTGCAGCAGTCATACCTACGCATGAGTAGTGGAACCACTCGTACGGACACTGCAAAAAAAGAACACAAATACCCATGTTTACAGTGCATCGATTTTACAAAAACCTTGACTGACAGTCGTTTAAAGATCGACTGAGCTTTGCAAAAGCTTTTTCTTAACGGTACTCCAAAAGACGAGCCACGGCACGGTATGAAGTACAATACCGTACAGCAAGAGGCATTCCGATGAGCTTGATTCTCATCGCTAAACTTATGCACTTTGTATGTGAATCTACGACGTGATCAAATGCGCGCCACCAATTTCTCCAAATAGGCTAATCATTTTAGTCTATATAGAAATAATAGAAATAAATATGCATCTTGCACAGTAAAATCTTGCTACAACAACATTTTCAGTACAGTATAAAAAAATTTTCTTCAAGTCCCAGCCGGAATCCCATAGATCCAATGCCTACCTCATTATAAAAAACTTCCCCATTGCAGATTAAAAACCTTTTTTTTTTTTCAGAAATGTTCAATAGATTCTCCAGGTAGAAATTAGGACAAGGACAATTTGAAATTTCCTGTCCCAAGTAAGACTGAGTGGTTCAACAAATCATCCTCCCAGAATGAAGAGATTGGTGTAATTTATGGAATGCACAATTGAAGCTATTTTTCCCAAAAGATTGCTTTACTGTACTCAGTTTCACGACAGAAAAGCAAAACCTAATTGATCATAGGCAGGTCTGACGTGAACATTTTTCCCGCTCATGAATTTTGAAAATCTTGTAAATCAGTACAACAAACTTTTTCCAAGGTCCTTTAAAATTTTCTTGTAACAATATTTTACTGTATTCTGTGCATACGGTAGATGCAGTACCATTAGTTTCATTTATCGTCAAACTGAAACTTACATCCACATTGTCGCAGGCAACCATTTGTCCGTATGACACTTGATTACATATGCAATACCGCGGCTCATTCGGATCAACGGCCCAATCGGGGATGACGCCATCGGCACCCAACAAAGAACTGCACAATTCTGACGATGGCGCCGACGGTGACGAGGGTTCATCCTTGGGCAGTGACGGCACATGCGATTTCCGCTTCGTCTTCCTACTCGACAAATCCTGTACTGTCGTAGGAACCGCGTTTGATGCGGGTTCAATGCCGAATTCTTGAAGTCCGGAAATGGCTTCATACGAGGCTTTCAACGAAGCACTTCGACGACCCTGCTGCATCTACGCGAAGCGAAAGAAGGAAAGAACGCTTCAAGTGTGAGGAAATTCGTGAACGGAAATGATCACATTCCGACCCATTCCAATTAATATCTTGATTAAAACCAGGTTGGATGTTCACTCGCGAGTCACGACTCATAAAAAGTAGATCTTACACCGGTTCGAACAGCAATTGGGTCGAGATTTTACGTGTTTTTTTTTTATACAGAAATAAGAAAGGAAATTACAAGCAAGAAACATTAATTTTACCTGAAAGACTACATGGTTCATAAATAGTTTTATACATTGGTTTATAAATAGGTAACATAATAGTTCATAGATTATAAATAGGTAACATTTTGCGGTAGATTATACAATCATTTCGTGAACGATTGAATCAGCTGCAACTTCAACTTCGCAAACTTCATAGATAAGATTTTTTAAATTAAAACAAACCTTTTATTAACGTAACCGGTCCTCTTCATTAATACAGTACTATGCAAGTTTGAACGAGGAGTATTTTCATCAGAAATTTTCTATTACCGGTACATTACCCTACGATTTGGTAAAATGCTCATCGCAGTCTATACAACAAATTTTACAATTTATGGTGAATATCAACTATTTTACGCGTATAATCAGCATCATGGAATGAGATTCTCATCCCTAAATTACTTTAGGAAGGCAGAATCGTTTTAAGATGTCCATCGATGTATTACAGTATTTCAAAAATAAATTTTCTTTAAAAAATTTTAGAATTGCTCTAAGAAGTCAATCAAAGTATTATCAAAAAATGTCTTTAAAAAGTCTCATCCGGACTTTTTAAATAACGACACAGTATTAGCCAGCCATTGATACTGAATTTCGGGAATTGTTCTGGAGGTAGATCTCATTTTCGGGAAACGCTGGTACTCTCGCATTAGGACATAAAATACTCGAAGCGAGAGAAACAATATTTGACCGAGGAAATTTTCAAATTGACTTTTCACCTGTTGCGTTGCAGCAATTGCTTGTGACGCAGCAGCAGCAAGCGCATTTCCTCCGGGTCCAATCATTTGACCTAAACCATAGATCTGGCCCGAATTTCCAACCGAGTCACCGATACAGTTAGTATCATTCATGTGTCTCTTTTCACCGTCTCGCCCTTGGAACGAAAAAGAGGGTCATTTTAAATGGACGACTACATTGAATTAAAAACGAGATCGTCTTCAAGCTTACCAAAAATTTTGGACTTGTTCTCCCGGTTCTCTTCTTCCAATGCTCCTAAGATGACAAATACCGATTTACTGTAGTGAATAACTCGTACAAAAAAATTATCACAATAATGCTCACTCTGTTCCAGCGTTTCCGTGATTCCTGGATTATCTGCCTCAAGCTCCATTTTCAATTTATGCAATTCAGCATCCAACTTCCGAACATATCGATCGGCTGTTTCGAACATACTCTGAGCTATTTGGGTTTTCCCAGCTGGGAAACAAAATGTGTGCAAAAGAATAGGTTAACGAACGGCGACGCGAGCGTACGAGGAATTCTATCGACTGTTTCTTTGCACCATGGAATCGATCATCATCGAACATTTGATTCAAGATAATTAAACTATTTTTGATCGACATGAATAGTCCCGTAGAACATTTTCGTGCGACGAGATTCACAATAATGTAGAAGAATAAAAAAGTCATCATTTTGAAGACGAGGTCGTGAAATTGGCAAACAAATTTCAATTCGACAGGTGGATTCTTCCCACTTCCATGCCCAATGTTTCCACTTCTATTTTCTTGGTCATTAAATAGGTGTCGCATGAATACATCACCATTTCTTCTCCAAAATATTAAGAATAGCCAGATTGAATTCGGAAACAAAAGTAACTCGTGGAAGAATACTGCAATTACACAAGAATTGCAGTTGTCTCAGTCAAACAAATTTCGAATTGGACAGGTGGATTCTTTCCACTTCGATGCTCAATATTTTCACTTTTACTTTCTTTGTCATTGAATAGGTGTCGCATGAATACCTCACCATTTCTTCGCCAAAATGTTAAGAATGGTAAAATTGAAGTATAAAACAAAAGTAACTCGTGGAAGAATACTTCGATTACACAAGAACTGCAGTTGTCTCAGCAGGATCGCGTAAATTCCTCCCCATTTTTTCAAACACAGAAATTGAGCACACGCCAGAGAAAAAGAAAGATCAACGAACATTTCTGCAAAACAACTGGACAATTCGACAGTTGAACTACTCATTTTTAAACCACTGGCACGATATAAATTTAGTAACCAAAGACAATAAAACATTACATTTTAAAAATATTCCAAAATTCCGATTCACATATGCGTCACGTTACGCTTGAACAAATAATTCAGGTGGAGTCTCTCTACGACGATTTCTCAAGTACAACGAATTTTATTTAGTCCCACAGGGCACTCTCCCCATGTTATAGAGGTTCTCTAAAACGAAATTTTCTAGACAACGAGCAGTTCTCCGGTCCTTTGAAACTTTAGTTGAGAATCCAAAAGCAGCTATGTAATGTACTTTCTTCAAACAATTTTAGACATGATAAAAAAGTTGAATTATTCCTGCAATGACAAGATTTAAGCAACGAGATCTCAGCAACATGAAAATTTATTTCGCGTCGTTGAAAGAAATACAGAAAAATCGTGAATAAAATTGCAAAATAAACCTCACCTGCGCATTGAAGCGCGTCTTCGTAACCAGCTCTGACTTTCCGAAACTCGATTTCCCTCTCAGCGTCTGACAATGCGTGCGCTCGATGGAAAAATTCCTTAAGCTTCTTCCTTTGAACATCTTTCGTGACTGAGTGGGCACAAAAATCGCATAACTCTGGCCAAGCAACCCGTAAACCCCGACGTTCAACTCACGCTGTGCCTGCATGTCCAACTCCTTCATCTCATTAAACTTTCCCAAAATCTCCTCTGGTAGGTGCTCGATGCCTATAAAAAATTAATCAAAATTGTAGGACCAACTTTTCATGAACTGGAGCATCCGAATAATTTAATGAAACATACTTTCTAGGTAATCCTCCAGGTAAATCATTATCGTTGATCATGCACACGGAAACGAAGAGCAGCAGCAGCAGCAGCACTGATCCCTGCAGTAAAAAAAGATGTGCTTCAATCTTTCAACGTTTCGTATTTCAATAGACAAGTGTTGATGGGCTTTCGAGCAGACGATCAGTTTCTTTTACGCATGAATCTTGATTATTCAAGGATGACGCACGCGAACACTTATTTAAATGGACATCTTATTCTAATGAACGTGACGGAAAGGATTTCAAAAACTTCTCAGATGCAGAGTACAAAAAACCTTTTCTTTGTGAAGAATAAAAACGTCCAAGAGAAATATAGTCTAATCCACGCGCAAAACTTAAAAAAACATTTCGAATGACAGGAAGTTGAGAAATATGCTGGCGAATCTAAAATTACGCAGTATTTTACTTTTTCGAACCGCAAAAGATGCGGAAACATCCTTTCGGTATTCTGTCAACAACCGGATTAATATGAATCTCCGGGTTGCCCAAGACTGCACATAATTATCCATAAGGAATCCACCTGGCAGAGCTTGATTGATTGGATTCCAGGAAACGAAGTTACACAAGAAGTTCCTTGCGAAACGATATCTCGACTCTTCGGAACAGCTTTGACCGCCATAGAAAACTAGTCTTCCGCCTGACCTCGGATCACCAACCACTTCCATACGGAACCACTTTCTACAGTTATCATAGACTTGGCTCATCATGCATTGGATTAGCGTAAGTTCGCTAACTTATTCCGCGAGCAAAGAGGCTCATCATCAGAAAATTTGTGAAAAGTGGGAAGAGAAAATTTCAACAGTGCTCAACTGATTTTATCTCGGGAAATTTTCAAAGTATTTTCCCTTCAACATCGAAGTGTGATCAGTGCCATTAGTTGGTTCGTAAGTTCTGAATTCGAGAACATTATTTCTAATCAAATGGGACTGTGAAAGTGATAGAAATTCTCAGAATGGAACCTCCGAGGCTGATAACGGGATACCTTCTTCCGGATGATAACAAATAAACAATTTATTTATTTTTCTACGGCAACCTAACGAAATTTCCATTACAACATTTGAATCTCAGAGCAATTTCAAGTTCACTGTGTAAATTATTGTCAGAGCAACACTTCGCAAACTGTACTGTATATTGCTCGGATAAAATTTTGAAGGCATCAAATAAAATGAAACTTTAAGATTTCGAGATAGTGACTTTCAAGAAAGTCAACATATTGAAGACTGAAAAAGGCATTTGGGTCCACAATTTCAGGAACACTTGAGGTACTCAAATTTGCGGTTTATTGAAGCTAACGCCTACATTAACTTTAAATTTGTAGATCGTGAGAAAACAATTTAAAATTCAAAATCAAAATATAAAATAAAGCAAAAAATATCGGATACTATAACGCATCAAGAAGTGGCAACAGAAATACATTGTCCTGAAATCCTTAACAAGATTATGAATGTCATTATTCACGAATATTTCTAAAACTGAAAAAGGCTCATATGAATAATTCCCATTCTTCATAATGTTTTAACTTTTAAGCATCCGCTATTTTTCAGAGTTCCAACACATTTTTAAACCTTTTACGATAAATTTTCAGCATACCTGAAAATGAGTGGGAAACTCTGACCGTAACGCTCGGAAAGTTTTCACTTTTGCTTATGCCGTGTCTTGCAAAAAATGTCTTAGAATAAAAAATAATAACGGGATAATTTCCAATAAATGGAAATTTTTAAATTTCCCTCCGAATTTTTCGAGACAGCCGAAATTCTGAGGACGCGCGGCAGTGGGACGACCCTCGTATATCCAAAGCAACCCTAACACAACCGATGAACTATGAATGCAAAAAATATATATACCGGGACACCCTGCAGCAAAGATCATGAATTACAAAAACCTATCATGAATTTTCCAGATACCACCACCAACGCCAATCATCATCACCCTCCTCCTCATCCCAATCATAACAATTGCATCAGGGAAAAATGCCAAGAAATCTTCAGAAGAATACGACTACTACTACGAAGACTCGGCTTTCGCGTCCGGGCCAGGGAAACTGGACGACCCTTCCTCAGTGGGTGCGGCCATTTGGGACTTTCTCGGCGGCTCAATCGGGGAAGGCGGTTTTGGCGGCGGGCGAACAAACGTGAATTATGCACCCAAGTTCGGCCCGTCCTTCAACAAAGTAGAAATCAAGAAGGAAGGGGACGAAGCCGCGGATCCGCCAAAAGCCAAAGGAGGGGATAATCCGGATAATCCCGACGGAGTGGATGGCGTTGACCGCAGAAGACCGCAAAAGCCAAAAGCAAGGAAGTGATTTTGTTTACAGTTCATTTTTTCATTATATTTGAAATAAACGTTATCACGAACAATTCGGACTCCGTAATACTGTACATGGACATTTTTGGAGAAGTCTTTCGCAGAAATAACTTTCAGCGATGGATTTCAAAAATTCCCGCAACATAACATGAGCCTTGAAAAAATTCATAAAACCTCTCATGAATCTAAGCCTAAACCAAATCTCTCAGATAAACCTTATCGGCCGTGTATACTGATCCATGACATTAAAATATAGTGAGTCCCCGCATAACGAAAAACTAGCGCAACGAAAAATTCGCATGAAGAAAATTATTCAGGGGCAAAAAGTGACTCACATAACAAAATCATTCAAATGAACGAAATATGCAGGCTAAAATGTGCCTATAATAATTTATTTGATTTCATCGAATTTTAATTTCGACTTCTGGATTTTTCCAAAAATTGAGGAAAAAAAGCTCTCCATCTTTCTGCATTAAAAATTTAAATAGTTTTAAGCAAGAGCAGTCCTATTTTAAGCTAGAACCGTCATGATTACTTCAACTTCATTCTAAAAAAATCCCAATTTTTGCTGAAAAAAAAATGATGGCTTCGTTTGCTCTTTTGATGAGTGACTGGAACCATTTAAATCAACTGCAATTTTATCTCAGGAAAAAAGTGCTTCACACCGCGAGAAGTGTGCAGAGCAAAACTAATTTAAAAACGGATATGTTTCGTTAGGCGGGGACCCACTGTATTCTGAAAATGCTGATCCTTCTTAATTTAATTTTTCAAATTACTGTACATTGGATTTTTTAATTTCTGTAGGAAATGGAAAAAAGGACAGTTCAGTTTATTCCCGCATTCCGTATCTCGACTTTCTCAAAATTATAGAATCTCGAACAATCCATTGGCTCGAAAGACAGAAGTATAATACTGCACCTTACAGTACTACACTGCGAAGTCAAATACATTATAGATCGTCAATTTTAATCCATCATGACTCGACTTCGAACAACATAGTCTTTCACGATTCAAAAGATCGAACTCAAACTCACCACAAACTCAACTTTTGGAACGACGACGGATGAAATGTATTGACAATCTGAGATCAGCTCGGTACAACTTTTTCGTACGCGACGAACTTCGACTCGGAACACTTTTTCACAACGTCCCTGTAAAAATCAATCAATTCATACTTTCAATTGCGCGATCAACGTATCACAAGAATGGACTTGAATTCCACGAAAAAACCGAAACGAGCGCAATTTGTTTTTCCACATTAATTGTTCCAAATAATAAGATCGGTTTTTCACAGTTCTAAATCCATGACTACGAGCACCTGCACCGACTTCGCGTAGATAGCCACGAGACAAGAGAAAATTTCGTCAAGAATAGTTCCGATTGTCCCACACATTACTAAAAATATCCCCTTATCCTCGGTAACTTCATCGGAAAAAATTACTGTCGTTCGTCACAAAATATATGCGATCGAATAAATATTGTACTCGAATGTCGGCTGAAAGAACGGATGAGTCTCATGACATTCAACGCGAAGTCGATGTTTTCCAAGGTTACGGCGCGGGAAACACATCGATTACTTTCTCTTTTTCTGAGGGTCTTGTATCACATCCATTTTTGTCATTCTAGCTTTTCAAGGAGTCTTCAAGGAATTCCTTTCTTCCCCGACTTCTTTCCAGCGTCCATCTCCAGGTACTCTTGACGCGTAACGCTGCTAAGCAGGTTGAGAATATGTTTGCACTTTTGGTCAATGGTTCTTGCCGTATCGTGATTGCACTCAAAATCCAGGTTTTTGTATTCGCCTGCTGGTGTTCGGTGAACAAGCCGGACTACCGACTGCAACGAAAGAAAATTCGAGGCACATCAATGGGGTTTCGACAGAAAATATTGAAAAAAACTCTTTCAAGGTCGTACAAAATATTCTTATTCGAGCAGGATGTTCATATTCGATTTTTCATAGATCTTGTGAGTCGCTCAGTTAACGCAAAAAAAGATAAAATCTGTAGGTGAAGTTTTTCAAAATTTATTAGCTGAAACACACACAGAACTACAGAAGTCTCCATTTTTCGAAAACAATTTGCCAGGATGATCACATTTTTCCTCTTGTTTTAAGGAGTTCATGAAGAGAATTGAAATGAAGGTGGATTCCTAATAAATGTATCGCTTTCCTGTACATGTACTTGAAAAGAAAATCATATCCACCTTTCCGGCAAACATTTAATCATCAGCAGCATTTCTAAATATTTTCCGGTTTCTCGGTGAACTAGGGGAAGCATACCCTTCAGTAAGTTTTCTTCAATCGAAGGCACGAATTTTTTTTGAAAATGGATGATGATTTGTTTTATTGAAGCGATCGAGTTTCCTCCGTTGAAAAAAAAATAACTTTAACGCCTTTCTCCTGTTTCTCTTGAAAATTGTTAAATTAATACGCAAAAGTTCTTTAAAATGCGAGTAAGAAGTCCTCATGATATTAATTCATGAACACAGCTTTTTCTTGAATCAGATTCAATTCCCGTAGTAAAAAAAAATTTCATCACATTGTTTTCCTGCAAAAAAGATACCTCAGATATGTTCATCTAGTTCCTTTGTTTCTTGAAAATTCGGAGGGAACGGAAAATCCGGTTCAAAAAGACAAAAATATAGAGGCGGATATTGATATTTTCAATGGACATTGAATTTTCCAATGAATCAGTCGAGCACCTTCATCTCTCAGCTTAGACGGAAATTATAAAAGTTCAGGGCAAATCGGGGAGGGGGAAGGGGGGATGTCAACATCGAGTACGGTACTTCAGACATACTCGAAATCTTTTCCAACCCTTGGAGAGTGCGAAAAACAATGTATGTTGTATCAGGGAGAAATTTGGAAATATCTAGAGATGTGACAACAGAAAGATCTTACGACATAATATGTCAAGGGACTCAAGGCCGAACGAAAGCAGCCAGGAACCAAACACATAATATTCATATGAGCTTTTGTTGAATGATCTTTCACTTTCGATCAATCGAACAAGGTTTTCAGAATTTCCAATTCATAAAATAAATAAATAAATGATTTAGAGACTTTTTTAACCTTCCTTCCGTATTTCTCCTCCACGATGCTGCAATCCGCGATAGAATCCATGTTGTAGGTAACAGGCTTCGCGAATCCACCACCAGCGAGCAGACCAAATCCCGAGCTTTTGGAAACGGGATTTACTTCTATCTTGTCACCGGAAATGCCCAAGTGTATTTCCGTACCACCGCGCATCCGCTGTAGAAGCGACACACTGTATGACTCGTACAGTGCGGCTTCCATCACCAGCAAGTGCTTCCGCATTCTGATCTCCTCCGTTCTGGTTTCCGAAGGTGCGAGAACGAAGTCCCGAGATCTAATGGAGACAAGATGGTTTAATATCCACGTCACATAAATACGACCTCACTTCATTGTATATACGCCAGTATGAGGCGCGTTTGCTACACATACGTTTTGACTTTTGCGCAGCAATTCCACGAGGATAAAAACTGTACACACCGCAAAATGCAGAAAATTATTGAGCAAAATGCAGCATATATATGCTGCAAGTTCAAAATTCGGAGAAAAGGATGATGAAAATTCTATGAATAAAATCCTTCAAAAGGAATCATACTTATCTTGTCCTCTTTTGCTCAGGCGGTATTCTTTTAATCGAGCAGTTCAGTAAATTTACAGTTTGGTTTGAAATAATGATTTTCCAAAAGATAACAATGATGACAAAACAAACATAGTCGGGGTGTATCAGAGAATAAAATCCTGGAACGACAGAAATAATCAGTAAAAAGAGAAAAGGCGATAGAGTTACCAAAAGGATCAAAGGCAAAATGTAAAGCCTTAGAAGGACATCAATGATGATCTCGTGCGATTGTTAAAAACCGGACATCTGACATAACTACGAAAAGCTCAAATGAAACTCGAACCATATGCTGTGACACGCACTCTCGTAAAGATACGCAAGCGATATACGAGCCCAGCCATGAGGATAGATGACCTCGTGACAAGAAGTTGTTTCTTCAAAATGAATAAGTAAAAGTCACGAAGTCAGCCAGGGTATATGATAAAATAAATGGCAAGTCTACCGATCACTAAACTTCATACTTTCGATACGCGCTGCTCATGTGATTTCCTAGTCCACGCGAAAAAAAAATACTACTGTAGTACTGTATCAGCCATTCCACGCAAAATCAGTAAATTTCGGGATTGTGAGCGAACTTGCACGTTTCCCGCCTTGGATTATAAAAAAGGAAAAATTCTTCACAAAAATTAATAAGCTCAAGCACAGTTGAAGTAAATTATTATTTCAACTTCAATAGCCGACATCCCAAACTTCGTGGATTTTTTGCTATCACATACCGTGCTTTTCTCGCCATTACACGCCGTATTTACGAAGTAACACACGCACCTTGCTTTAAAATTGAACGCATGAAAGCTGGGAGCGTGATTTTTTAGGTAATTTTAGAAGCGTCGTCGGAGCACGTCATATCGTGTCACTTGGAGACAGTTACACTAGTTTTTAAAAAATCATTAAAATCGTCGAAAAGCAAAAATCCTGATTTAGACTCCAATTAAAGTGTAGGAGTCAGGAAAGGCCGATTGCTTTTGGCTAGTCCAGCTAGTAAATTACGGCGCAGTATTTTTTGATAATTGCAGATTCAGGCAATCATGCAATATTAAATTCCAGAAAGTAAGGCCAGGTGTTATCAGAAAATATTCCACTCATGTAACGGGGAAAAACTTCAAGAATAACGTCTAACTTACGGGGAGGGGGTGGGGGTCCCCCGCATAACGAAACTAATCGATTCCTGGATGGGTTTAGTTACGCCGAATTTTCGTCGTGAGAAACGCTTTTTCCCCACAATATTACATCGTAACTGATTTAACTGGTTCCAGCTGATCACCAAAAGGCAATACAGTAGTAACCAATAACATTTAAGTATTTTTCAGCGAGACATTGTGAAATGAATGCTATACTGTATCTGTATATTTAGGGAGAAATTTAAATAATCCTGACAACTCTCGCTCATAACTTCCTGAATTTCTCACATCGTGAAGACGAGAAGATATAAAAACTTTGCTTTTCTTTCCTAGTCTTTCGTTTAAAAAGTTGTTGAAACTTTCGCGTTTTTTGGTCCGAAAAATTTCGTCCTGGAAAATCATTTCGTTATGTGAGTAATGCTTTGCCCCTAAAATTTTGGTTTCACGGTTTTTTTTTCGGTCTTTCGTTACGGTACTCATTGCATTTGACTTAATACCGTATTTTATTCTCAAACCTCGACTGGAATTCTACTCGCCCAATGACTCACCTACACTCCAGAAGTTTAGCATTTAGACTCAGCAAAGCATTGTTGGGGTCTGCCTTGTCCCTCATAACGTAAGTCTTGGTCTTGAGTCGATTCGCCAAAGCCTTAGACGTGCATTGAAGTTCCGTCAGCTTGATCAGATCGCTCACCGTCAATCCAATGCCGCCGTTGGGCAACACGACTTCGATCAAATCGCGCGAAGGTAACACAACAACTTTTGCGACGAGGTTGGGCGTGAACGGCGCGATGGTTTCTCGAGTGCGCGATGACACAAGCGCCAGACAGGAGAACTGAAATTTGGACACCACTTCGGATTTCTCCAAACACGGGAAATCGAAATCAAACTCCCCGTCTTCTTCGGCAAACAGAAGCTTGTAGGCGTCGACTGAGTCATACGGAAGGTGAGGTTCACGAATCTGGCTGGTGTATTGCCAGCAAATCAAGCCGATTAAATCCGAGATCTAGGATACAAAAAAGGCTTTTTTTCATGGAACTGTCACTTCAAACGTTGAAGTTACGCGTTTGTCCTTGAAACTTTGATACTAAGCGGGCAATGCCACATTTACACAGAGGTAGGCTGCACCCTCATTTTTTCTCTTGTATTTCCATGAGTAAAATTCAATAATGCAGTAAGAACCATATTTACTCAAGCACCACGCGCCCCTGAGTAAGAGACGTTACTAAATTTTCATTCTCAACATTTTGAGGAAATTCCATCGATGAGTAAGACGCACACCCCATCTTTTTTGACTGAAAAACTACAATGTAGGTATTTAAAAAAATACACCAGAATTAAAATTTCCAAAATGAATTCATCCCGAATTCAGTCTTTTTTTTATTTAAAAAAGTTCAAATTGAAAATAAAAACTTTCTAAAATTTCAAATTATATTTAAATGTGGCGCACACCTGAACCAACATTTTTTCTCATTTTATCCCTACCTTTGAAGCTTACCTCCTTTTTTCCTCTAAATTTTGAGAAAAAAATGTGCGCGTGGTACTCGAGTAAATACGATATTTCTCTGTTTCTGTGTTACAGTACTGTAATCTCCCACAAGATTTCTTCCAGGAAGTTCAAGCAAAATAATTCTTTTTTTTCACCTTGGCTGTGGCAACGACACTGATTTCCAGGGACAAGACCGGAGCTGTCGGCGGCAGGATAGTCAGAAAGATTTTGATTTTCTTCACAACGATGTCACCGGCGTAATACGCCCCGTCAAACCGAGCATACGGCGCAAACGGATTCGGCGGCACGGCCGGAGTTTTGCTCAACAACGACGATAATTGCGATACCCCTCGGGCCTTCAACCGATTGCTTTCGCGTTTGGCAAAGAGCTCGTCAAGTTCGGCGTTTGGAACAGTTTGATCCTTGGTCAACGACCACACGATCGTCTTGGTGCCGCAACATTCTTCGCGGTCTCGTTTGATCTTCTCGAGTCGAATGGCCGTGTAGGTTCGAGGTCGGTGCATCGTCGAATTGACAATCTCCGGCGAATCCGACAGTCCAGCGGACAGATCATCATCCACTATTACCTAAAAAATGTTTTTGAAAACAAAACCCGAAATAGGCATCCTCCAGGTCATTTCACTGGGAGAAGGATTTGACGCTGTTACTCGTAACTAGGAACAAACTTTGTTGTAAGCTAATTCGCTTGTTCCTAGACCCACAAAAGTGCCAGTTGGGGGGCCAAAAATTTCCTTGCAGTCAACCTGTATTTTGAGAGTAATAGAGAAATTGACGCCAAGTAAGTTGGAATGTTGTGAAGAGTGGAAATGAATAATGAATACATTACATCACTTCGAAAATTAGAAGTTTTGGACACCGGGGGATGGGGATGGGAAGCAGATATGCACTATTCAACCGTATTTAGGATCAAGACTCGTGCCTGGTCCCTAGAAAAATGAGGGATCTTCAAAAAATTTTATTAGGTCCCACTATTTCTTGTCAAATTAATGGTGAATAAATTGTACTGGGATTGATTCATTAAGGAAAGACTTACAGTGTTCTAGCTCACCGTGGAGGAAAAACCACAGGAAAACACAAACAAACCTGGTCGTCGTCACTGTCATAATCGCTTTTCGGCAATGGGAAATCATTGTTCAGCAGGACGTGCTCGCAGAGCTGCGATTCGTCTCCAGTGATGAAGGAATGTCGTATGTGCTTCAAAAGCCATCGTTTGTCCTCGTAAAACGCCATTCACCTTCATGCTCACGCGATTATCACACAGCCGGTTTCATTCGGCAACATCAGAACTATTCACATAAACTCTACAACGAAACTGTATCAAAGAGTTGATTAATGGAATCGAAATATCAGTAACGACTGAGTTATTTCTGAGAAATTTCATAACAGAATAAATTACGCATCCTCAACAAATTGTATTTGAACACGGCAGCGTGACACAGCAAAAAATGTCATGGTATCGTAAGAAGCATAGATGAGAGTTTATATTTTGGTACCCCAAAGGTATCACCACTCAAGTCGCCAGTATTTTTTCGATGCGGAGATTGTGTTCTCCGTCGTTTCATGACTGAACGAGGTGCTGCCGAGGATTGAATATTTTTCGTAGAGGCAGAATCTGGAGTATCATCGATCACAGAAACTTCAGGAGTCACTGGTGACACTAAGGCAACGCCCTTCACTGTCTTCCGGCCCACTGAAAAAAAAAAACTACAACTTGAACACAACAGTGACGAAAAAATCTTCGAAAAGTCTAAAACGCATCAAGAATTCAAAGTCGGACAAGAAAATATTTCACTGTAGAAAGCATCTGAGCCATCAAGCGAATTACGGTCCGAAAATGGAAAATCTAGTAAGGGATCTTCGAATTTGTATTCCGTACGCACGAAATTAAAAAGCAAAATTTAACTTTTGCGGTCTTCTTCCTGCAACAGGCTGAGAAGAAAAAAATAAACGAAAACGAAGAATCATATCTTCCAGAAACTTCCGATTCTTACAACAAAAGAAGATACGATCGTCAAAAATTTCCTCTGCAGGATATCTGTAAACTTACGGAAGATTTCAAACAACTGAAAAATATCATCCAAAATGTAAGAATCAAGGCAAAAGACAATCGAACTTACAAGCTTTCAGCAATACAGCTCGACAGTTATCCGTCACACACTTCCTAGATTCATGCTCAGAAAATCCCAGCAGCTCGGCTCTGCAACAAATCATCATGCCGGTAATTATTATCCCTAATCTCACAAATCATACAAATTTAAACCTTACAAATTGCAGACATCCAAGGGTCCTCGCAACTGCATGCCGTTTATAGCACCACTAGAAAGTATCAGATTCTAGAACAAATAGAAGGAAGAAACAAACATCAGGTTTTTTTCTCCACTTGAAAATAAAAAAATTATATATACCGTATACAATATATATAAATAAAATTTTGGACTCACTTTCGACTTGGTGAGCGTGAACAAGGTGTGCGCAACTGAGATCGTGAGTTTGCATTTTGACGACTCCATCAGCATCGGCGAATACAAAAGTTCGAAAGCAATACCTCGCCGGATTGCGGTCAACAGCATTTTTCGGGGCCATTTGAATTCGCATGGAATTCGAAGTTGGATGATATCAACATCAATCGTTTGACACGCTGATTGCAATCCGGTGAGGGAAGTAGGTCTCACAGCTATGATATCATACTTCTTAGCATTTCTGCTCTGGGACTGGAGATGAAAAAAATAAAATCGAACATGAATGGGCTTGAACTGGTATCCAATGTCGCATTTTCCACAATAACGTCCGACGTTCATGGAGAACATGACCTTCTCTGTCACTCGTGAAAATAGATACACTATCACCTAAAATTCTCCTGGGTTCAATTTAGATTGAGCTAAGATTATTTAGCTTTCCTACATCAAGCTGATAATTCAGGAGACACTAATCAGACATTCCAACTGGCCCGGTTGGGCGATAATTTCTGAAATACTGTACTGTATTGTGATGTAAATTCTCAAAAAAAATCTAAAAATAAACTGCTATATTGCACTGCACTGTATAAAGGAATATACGGTACAACAACAAAATATTGTTCGAGAAAAAGAAACTTGAATAAACTCTACCCGCAGTTAAGCTGATATTAAGCGTAATCAATATTGTGCAGTGACCTTACCACGAAGCCAATTATTCTCACTGATTTAGATTTCCTCCGAAAAATGTAGATATTGTAGACGAACGAAAAAAAAAGTACGTAGTTCATCTGTCTTAATTTCATCTTTTCTTGGCAAATTTAAATAAACCCATAGGAAAATCTATCTCACATTGGAACACCCACCAACTTGAAAGACGTAATAGGATCGGAGATAGAATACGTCAGTCTGGATAATATTCGCTGGTTCCGTTTACGAGACGTAAGGAAACTATCCGGACCAGGAATATCACTGAGGTTGTCTTTCTTGGCCTTTTCGGAGCCTTGTTTTCTCCCTCCGGGAAACGTTATTTCCTTCTCTTCGATGTATTTCTCAACAGCTACTACGTTGAAGCCAACTGTGACAAAGAGATCATTCAATTCCGGAGTTTTCATAAGAAAAACATATCTACAGACGTTCCAGGGCGCACTGTGCCACTTGGACTCCTCCTTCGCTGGAAATGCACAAGTCATGAAAATCACCAGGGAATCCCAAGTCAACGGCCATAATTTTAAGTTTGATGAACACGTTCGATGCCTCTTACAGCTTCAGCGAGCTCCAAAACGGATTCAAATTGCTGAACGCTGTTTTCTATGGACTCCACTTGAAACGCCAGATGAGTGGCAAACGCAGACAACTTCTCCACACCCTACAGAAAACATCGAAGATCGGATCAGTCGATAGTATTGTTTAGTGCGCGATTAAAGGCTACACCTGGTATTCGGGCTGCCATTCGGGACGGGAAACAATACATATGCCAGAAGTACGCAGGAAATTTGGGAGAGAAAGGAGGCTTTCTTCGTGCTGTACAGAAATTCCATTCGGCAAGATACATTTAATCAGAATTCAACTTGTACGAAGATCACATGAGATTCGTTAGAAGTATACAGAGAACAGCATTGGAATAAAATAATGTAACCCTTAATCATCCGGTGAAAAATTTTTCGGAGCTGTATATTCGCGTTGACTTTACTTCCCATTACCGTGATCTGGAGTATAGGCCGCACCGCGAAGTAAAAGCGGCCTACCTTATCATATCTCGAAATAATCGGCACTCCATTTAACTGAGGTAAAAAAGTGGCCCAGAATTGCAAGTAACCTAACAATGAAGCAAAATGACACACCTGAGAAGTTGATTCGATAAACGGTTCAAGCGCAAGAGTATTCTTCGCACTATCCGCCAACACCTAAAAAAAGAAAAAAGTACTTCAAAAACTGATCTGGCTAAAAACTTGAAGGAAAGAAGAAACAAAGAACACACCTCTTCTGACTTGGAGCCCCGATGAATTTCACGACACACAGACGCGATGGCGTTTATGTTTTGTTGGATTCGTTGAGACAATTTATCTTTACTTTCAGCATACAACTGCTTAGGATGGGACATCGATGGCACAGTCGACATTCAGCGCGCACGAAAGACCTGATTTCGAAAAGGAATTACAGTATAGTGATTACACATCTTCGAAAATGTCTACGAGTGCTCCGAGTGCTCGGAAGCATATAATAAAAGCATAATACACTGGCTTTTCTTTATTATTCTTGGCACGAATTAATAATCAAACAAAATCCAGTCCCACAATGCATTTCCTCAAAGCTGAGGTTAAGCAAGTACAGTAGCTGCACTCTCTAAACATGCGACACTGCATTTGAAGCGAATCTTGTCAAACTTATCTAGCAACAAAATCTGCGCACCTCATCAAAACACTGAAGGTAATCATTGTATGTCTTTGTTGCATCACGAAATTAAGACAACATTAAGCACCCAAAAACTTCCGGAAGTTACAGCGAGTAGCTAAACCGTGGTACCTTCATCGGAAGGATCATAAACTCTGTCGTTCACTCCAACATCCATAGCTGTCTCACTGGTCTGATTCCGTAAACCCGCAGGCTGGGTATCCTCACTTGTACCTTGTGGTGTGCTGACTTCGGTCGGAGATTCTTCGGTTTTCGCGGACAAATGCGGTTCAGCGGTGGAATTTTCGATCAAGGATTCTGGAGTATTTGCAATGGGCGGCTCGGGAGGTGCCATAGAAGCCATGGCAAGTGCTTCAAGACGTTCAACGAGACCTTGAATCTGCTTCACAACTTGTTTTCGTCTCGTGCGAATTTCATCATCCCCGTGCGTTTCTACCACATCCAAACGGATGAGATTTCTCGTTAGCATCTCGTCGAGATACATGTACTCCTTCGACGACTTCAGTCCGGAAAAACAGTTGATACTCGGTGAGAGTTCGTTCAACGCGTTTTCCACGGATGTAATTTGCTCGAAACTCGACCTTTTCGCCGGAGATTCAGGCACAGGTTCCTCCCTCAACACTGACACAGGTACAGATTTCACACCAGCTGAAGACGATTTCTGGTATACTTGCGGTTTACGACCAACGTTCGACACCGGAACCTCATGAGCAGAGGCCGACTTTTGAGGTGGATGGAAGTTTTCTCGTGGCTTTCCAGACGAGGTCGAGAAGTTCGTCTGCGATGGACTGCCACTCGGCGGTTTTCCAGATGTGTATTCATGAACCACCTTGATAGGAATTGAATCTTTTCCATCGAACGGATCAGAATCTTCTTTACCAGAGGCGCTTGACTGTGCCTGAGGAGCGCTTTCAGGCTCAGGAAACGAGTTCCCGTCTTCAAAAAACGATCGATGACGAGAAGGAAAATGATCGAAGCCCGGCATTTCCTGCAAATGAAATAATTTTCAACAACCATACGTGAGTCAGAAAAACGAGTTCATTCTTACACGATGAGGAAAGGGACGCTGCTCGAAAAACATGTCACGCTCCTTATCAAATTGTTCCCGAAGCTCTTTAAGCACTTCTGCACTAGACTTTCCGAGAAAACGATCACGCAAGCTTCCCGAGGGTCTTCTACTCGATCGCTCGTCGTTTTGGAAATGTGAGCTCATGCCGAAAAGGGATCTCCTAGCATCACAGAAACAAACGCACACACACCATTACACGAAAGCGTGGGATGAACGAACCGTCTACGGATTAGGTCAGATGAGCGTCACACACCCACGCACTTCTCGAAAGATCGGTGATTCATTCCGTTCTGGTCACTACTATACGAACGCCATAGGCGACAGCGCGACGGAGTGGCAATTCGTAAAGCGTTCATGCGTCGAAAACCTAAGCGCTTCTGACAATCTGATGCCGCCGTCTTCACGCCTGACCCACGAATGAAATAAGTCGATAGCATAATGAATATGCTATCAACTTAAATAATGTACTAAATGCGCAATGTAAGCATTACTTGTTTTGACTCGAATACTCAACTGTTCATATTTTCTCCGGTGAAGAAGAACCAGCCCAGCTGATCGATCAAGCTTCTACAAGCGAATGTTAAGACCATAAAATAATTCATGCAAGAGTCGTTTTAGACGGTTGTGGACAAATTATCATTCAAGTACAGTGTACAGTTATGTAAGAGTTAATTATCCGATCAAGAATGTTCCTCAACCTGTAAACACATGTAACATCGAACAACCTGCGCAGAACCTTGAATTCAGCTCCGATCAGCTTAGCCTGAACTCCGCCCTGGATTTGTTTCCGGGTTAAACCGAAAATGTACCCACTTTCTAACTTACTCCATCCACACAGCATTAATTGCTGAATGCTGGTACAGTACAGTACTGTATTCCTTACCAATCAACAGGCTGAAAATAAAAATTATTTCAGTGATCTTTGATCCCATCACACGCAATACATCTAAACATTTCAAAGGAACGCTGAATTCGTATCAGTCAGATTACGATAATAGCGTCTGTGATGGATGAAGAGTATCGCATCCATGTACTGTACCAACATCCTCCAGTCCGTAGTTCCCGCACGAACACTTCACAGTATTCGCTAGGCTTTGTGTACCTTCTTCATGAAAATGCAGTACTGTACTGTTCTCAGTTTTGGAATTGTGGCATGCGGCCAAAGGAGTGAAGGAATTGCCGTGGTTCCTTAGGAGCACATTGCAATAATGAGAATTTCTCACATTTCGTTAACCATTCTGCAGCTTCTTGTATCAGACAAAATCAAGCTCAGCTCAGTCCCGCGCCATCGTTATTAAACATTTTTGGAATGTTTCATCAATTTGGAAATAACATTTTTGCAACTGAAAACCTACCGCGTCAAACTGAATCATTTCAAATTTCATTGAGTCAATTATGAACATCGCAACGTAACCGACGTTCTATTTTATTTTGCTTCGTATTCTTGTCTAATGCCTGATATTATACGATAATGAATGATCACCAATAACTTAGGTTTATGAAAAATATCACTGCTGTACATAGTTTGCCCTTTTCTCTCTCCATTGAATGAAGTAGAGAAATTGCCACATAAGCTCCAATCTGAAAATTTAAATTTGTTTCTTGTCGAACACTCAATTTTCTTATACCCTTTAAACATTTACTCAGTATTGAGGTAGATCAAAATTATGAAAAATCATGATTAAAATCCTGTTAAATCAATGCCACTGGGACGCGTAAAATTCACATAAGATAGCTACTACTGTATATGAATAAAATGATTAAAATTTTGCCGACATTGCAATGTTCCGGAAACGAAAGCCAGAGAATTTGCCTCAGTCTATACCTCTAGACGGTTGCGAACAAATCCTCATTCAAATACAGTGTACAGTTATGTAAGATTTTAATTCCAATTAATCTCATTGCGCTAGAGCATACATAAAAGATAAATGTTTTCCATCAGCAGAACCGCGGTAATAATGAACTAATGATGACTTCAGAAACATGTTCTGTATTTGTCACGTACCATCAAACAACCTATGAAGAATCCCACAACGGCTGAAGTTGTACAATTTTATTTAACCATAACACTGTGGCCGACAATTGAGTCACTCGAGTGGAACACCCCGAAGGATTTCGTAAATCTAGAAAGAATCGGACGCAGTACCAATCTGTCCCACATTAAAAAGATCGAGATCGTTTGATCACAGTTATGCACAACGCAGGAATACATACACAAATCAAAATTGCGAAAAGTTTCGTACCAACGTTAAAAAGCCGCCGATTTCGACGATGACTAATGAACAATTCTTTAAATCGTCGAAAAGAAACGTAAATAATTTGTCAACAAAACAAATACAGTAGTCCATGGAAAAATAATTCATAAAAAGTATGTTTTCGTAAACATCCTAAAGAATAATAAGGAAGTCCACAGAATCGTCAGATATTCCTTGGCAAGATTGTCCGCTCTCCTTCATTCAACAATATGTTGAACGCCCGCAAAAGCAGAAAAGCACCAAGACTTCGCTGTTGTTCTGGTGGCCATTTCCGTACAACACCGTGCTTGTGACCCCGTTTCGCGTTTGTGAGGTTCTCCAAACCTTGAAAAATACAGTACAGGCAATTCACAATCATATAAATATCTTTTTTTAGATTTTCAATGAGTCGTGGATTCATCAAGTAACAGAGCGGCGTATACTGTACTGCATAGCAGTACAGAAGTCGGATCATCTCGGCAATTTTTTTGGTAGCTCCACAAGGATTAATCCAACTACAAACATTAAAAAATGTTGCTGAAAAAATTACAGAAAACTTTCGAGGACTTCAACGTATGTTGACTGAGATTCCCGAAATTCTTAAAGTGCTGCATCCAGGATGAACAGCTGATGATTAAATTACCTTTAACAAGTTGAAATTACGAAGCATTCATAAAGGCCGATTTTCATATCTTTCCATCGAAATTCGGGAACGGTCAATTTTTTAGCACAGCATCATGAATATGACTAATAAGATAAGAGAACGTAAAAAATGTTTATAATGCTCATCAAAATAATCAGCATTTATTTTTGCGATTTAAAATAATAATGCGCGTTAGCTGACGTAAAATAACCAGCGAAGCGGATGCACCGCGTAATTAATTGGCTATACTGTTAACAGTTAATCATAGCCCAGATAATAAAATTTCTAAGGTCATTCCAACTCCAGCTGCTTCCTTTTAACATACAGTAGCACTGTACCAATTATCCGGTATAATGCGCTTCGAGGGTTGAAAGAATGTTGGCAATAATTATTTCAAGTTGTTGGATAGTACAGTATATTATTCATCTGTATAATGTATTCATTCGAAAACAATGTTCCTTCATTTGTTAATCCAAACCGAGGTCATCAGACCTGATAATCCGGATTTTCTAAATCCACTATAGAGAAAAACTTGCACGATTTTTTTCCAGCTTACCAACAGCATCTATCATAATTGCTTCCCTCGTCAGTGCTTCGTTGTGCAGCTGAGAATGAAACACGTGCAGAGAAATGATGCCAGACTGATGATCCCAAATTTCTTGTATCTTCTGAAATTTTTTATCGTCTGACTAAGAGGAAATATATCTGAATCATCGTCCATGAAGAATCGGAACGTATAATTTATCTTACCACTTTCGGCTGTTTCTTTTGCAATACAGCTTCTTTCAAATGTTGATACGGCCTGTTTTTCTGACCCTTCCCGATGTAGAATATCGCGCATAGAAAGGTCCCGAATTTCTCAGACGGAGTGAGATCTCGCACCGGTAAATTTTGCGTCACCCTTTGAAAAATATCGACAGAAAACTACCGTAAATACTGTACAGTGTACTGTATATGATTCATCTTTTCAGTATCGTAAAAAGTCGAAAGATAACTATGATTCATACCATACAGTAATTCATAAAATGACCATAACAAAGCAGAATAAATTATCTCTTCAACTTTTCAGTTCAATATATAAACAGAAAATTTTCAATAAAAATTCAGTTTGGTTAATAGATGATCAAACACAAACTGCGAACAGAATTTTGTCGGATCAACTATTTCAAAAGAGGAAAAGAAAGTCGCAAACCGTTTTCTTCAAAAAATGTTCTTGCTTATACAGTATTTAATTATCCCTCATAATTTCGTTCAGAAATAAATCTGCTTGTTGCATGATAAAAGTGTCATGTGACATTGAAATAATGGCTTTCATGCTATATTTTATGCGACATTTTCATGGGAAGATAAAATACAGTAAGTCGTATGAATTACGAAAAAAAATTACCGTACCTGGAATCCAACAGAAGATAGTTGAAACAGCTCCTAGAGCAGCCGAAGCGCTTAGACGGCTCTTCCGATTTCTCCAATGATTTAACCATGGCCAATTCCAACGGTTCATACATCTTTCCAATATCCAGGAAACCGAGGTCTTTCATCAAATAACGGGTCTCACGGGGAAACTTACAATCTACAGTAAAAGTGAAAAATAAGTGGGATTCAAAAAGAAGACAGGAAAAAAAAATTTTCACAACCAGGAGGAACTGAGGAGTTCATCAAACGGCGCTGAATGAGAAATTGCCGCATATCTGATTGACTCGGCCCTCGAAAATATCGGAAGAACAACGACGATAGTGTCCAAAGAGACGATAAACATGCCTTATCATTTGACTAAACATCACTATAGAGGAATAACGCTAAATCGATTTAATAAATTGGATAAAACCTTGAGGATAAGGAAGAAAAAAAAAACTTTCAACCCCACAACTTCTAGTGATCAAAATATCACGAGTTGCAACAGCAAATACCTTACGGAAAAATATACTGTATTCAATTCATGACACATCTCACCGACTTCTCCAAGGATCGGATTTTCGGGAAGCCACTTCCTTTTCTCGGCAATCCATTCAACATCAGAAAGATTTGCTCTCTCTTCTAGACCTGCAGCCTTTCTTCGACGCATGATTTCTCGCTGAGTTAAAATTTTTTCTTCTTCACACAGCGCTTGCAATTCTATAACACAAATAAAAACAAATAATACAGCACATTGAATTTCGTAAATTTATAGAAACCTCACCTGAAGCAACAGAGCCGCACGACAAGGCCGTGTGAAAGCTGTCATCATCCCTGGAATATCATAGGCGGTTTTAAAATTCAATCTGAAGCAAAAAATTGCATCGTAAAAAATATATACTGTAGTAAAAACTCACGTCACGATGTCACCATCCAAGGCTAATTTGCACAGTCTTTTCTCTGCCAAATTTTCTTCGTCGGATTCTCTGAAAAACAAGAAAAAGGCTCAGACATTTTCCTAAACCCTCCACAAATCCAATTGAGAAGATCCTCGTTCCCGTATAAAAAAGTTCGGACTTAAGATATTCCAGGAAGGATGTATTAGGACTTGGGGAAAATATATTCGTAAATAAATAAATATATATATATATACTGTTATCCAAAAACTATTTTTTATATATATATATATATATATATAATTTTTTAAATTCATCATTAAATGCGTCGAATGGGTGAAATAGCCTCTGCTCAAACGCTCTATGTTTAACTCCAGCGATCCTAAGTTTCAGGCAATTAAAACTGAATGGGTGTGGAGTCAAGCTTAACACTGAACCTATTAAAAAGATGGCGTAGATGGCCCAGGCAACGGAACTGTAAATAACAACATGTTTCAAAGATAGTCTTCCATAATACTGTATTTGCAGAAACCGTTTTAAAATGCACTGCAACACAAGAATCGAGGATAATCCTTCAGACTACGCCTGTATAACGACATGAGAATGCCTGCAAATGTTCTCACCTTTCGTCATCGTCAATACAAATTGTTTTATCCAAATCATCCTCTTCCGGTTTCACAGCCAAGTTTCCCATCGCCTCACAGAGACCAAACAACGGAGAAACATCAGACAGTTGATGAGGTATCACGGGAAGTTTCTTTTTGAACACAAAATCGAGCAGTTGACGAAGTGCGGTCACGTCCGGGTCTTTTTTCCCGCAAAGAGCGTAGTCGAATGCGTTCATATTCTCGTCATCAGTCAACGTGGGATCAGCACCGAAATGAAGCAAAATTCCCACATGTTCCCCGTGGGCATCTTTTTCCAGTGCAAGGACTAATGGAGTCCCGCCCAACGGCTCTCTGCAAAATGCATTCGTTCTCTTGTTTATTTACCGTATATCGTTCAACCGCTGCAGCGCGACAGACGTACAGTATTAAAATATTTGACAAATTATCTACAGAACTACAGTACTGTTCAATTTACATATTGAACATAAACAGCTCAAAATTAAACGTTTATCCAAGTAATCCGTACTAGTGGGTACAGGAAAAAATCCTGCGGCTCGAAAATCCTGTAGGTGTCAAAATCTCGTAGGTTCAAAAATTGGACGGGGTGCGAAAATCCCGCGGGATTAAAAATCCCGGGCATTACAAAATTGTGACAGTATATCTTTGGTTTTTGCTTCCATCCGTTTTGAAAGTTTATGATCACCTTTCTCGAGAGAAAGGTCAAGAGGAAGCCTGAGACATATGTAGCCTTCATTTGGGGCTTTAATCCATGCATTTCCTATGTATATAAAAAGTGTACAGTAATTTTCTTTCGATTATCACAGTTCAGCTGCGCCTCTCGAAGTGAGAAACACGTGCCAACTTGCTGAAACTCCAAAAAATGTTTATTGCACTGATTTGGAAGGCAATAAATGAAGAATGAAGAGAGTTATTCAGGAACAATCCACAGAAGTGGAACAAGAAATACAGATGCTTGCAGATTAAATTACGCCAAAGACAAGCATGGGGTGTTCCAAAATAAACCACCTATCGTGCATGGTATTCAAATTCTCCAGAAAGTCGGGTTACTTTAGTCAGATAATTTTTTTCAAGTGATTTTTTAAATACACCATTGCCGAATTTAGTTATCAAGAGGATTTTGCTGATGAAAGAATTTAAGATGGTGATTTTTGTTTCTGCGGGATTTTAGTACCCCAAAATATTTTGTTACCTACCGCCAAGACTTAAGTTATTCGTTGTTTTCTTTAGCCATAGACGCAAATCATGAATATAATGAGTCGCCTGAAAATTCAAACATTCCGTGGTTCAAATTAGATTGCGTTAATGAGTCAGAGAAGTTGATTTCAGGCTTGATTCGCTCAGGACATCCCAGCACGTAAAATTTTCATTTTAATCGGATTATCACCTGTCAAAATAGTGATTCGGTCGACACATGGCGTGCATTTTACGAAAAAATAGAAAATTCTGAGTTTGAAGTTGAAGGGAAAATTATAATTTGATTTCCATGCCAAAAGCGAGTAGATGTGAACAAAGTCGAAGCTAAGCCTTCGCCAAGCGTTGTTGCCACAAAAGGTGACAATTAATGACACAGATCGATCGGTGGTAAAAAAACACTACAATATTTTATGAGCTCTGCTTTTGAAATATTCTTGAAAGCTCCGTTTTTGAAATATTTTAAAAGTTCTACCTTTGAAAATACAGAAGCTTACCGAGCATTGGGATCTATACGATGATCACTCAATAGCAGTTTCAAAATTCGGCAACAGTCAAAATCCCCGCGAAATGGACTCATCGCCGCTGCGTGAAGCAGAGGTAACTCTCCTGTCACCTGCACGTTTGGATTACCTCCAGCATGCAGCGCATATTTTGTTGCTCTAAAAATAAAAAACATGCTCGTAACAAACAAAACACGAGATGAAAACAAAATTGAAAACTTACCTAAAGTTCCCTGTTTTCACGGCAACAACCAGCGCCTCATCCGCATTATTCATTGGCCTGGCTTGAAGATGGAACAATTATTTCAACAGACATTAAAGAAGTCTGGATTCAAATGTTCATTTGCTGCTTGGTCAAGATTAGTTTCCGGTTCAAGTTAGGATTTACAGAAAAAGTCAACAGGGAGCCTAACGAACGTTCGCCAAGTTTATCGTAATCAGAGAAGGTGATGAATGTTATTTTTCCTGCAGTGTTCATTCGAATACAAATCGAGTTGAAGAAAAAATTTGATGGTCCCATTCCTATTCGAACCATTCAAATAGGATATTTCGCACAACATAAGCTTTTTATCGAATGCGGAAAACGTCTCGATTGGTTTTGGAAACTTAATCTCGATATCCCGTCACGTCGCTTTTTCTTTCAAACCACACGAACAATGGCAAATCTCAACTTTCAAAGAAATAATCCTCTGACGCATCTAAACAAGGCTTCTTTTCCCCCTTAAATCTTAAAGTTAAAATGTATTAATCTTATAAACGAACGAAGAATTGAAAAGAAATGTCATAGCAATCTCTCGTCAAATTCCTCGGATTCACGGAGATTGTGCCTTTGTCATGTTTCGATTATTTTATCTGAAGCTATTCAGGACCATCCAGCGAATAAGCAAGGATCAACTCACACACGATCAACTCAAACCAGCTTCAAGGTTTCATATTTCTCATTCCAATGCAGAAAGGGACGTGTGCTGAATAACAAACAAAAAAACTTTCAATAGATCTAAACATTCAGAAACCGCCCAACTTCCACGGTAATGGCACAGCATCAGGGCACATAGAACACATTCAATCCGGACAATTATTTGTTGCTACGCCAAACCGCACAGATCACCGATTACTTGGCACGAGGGAAGAGCGAGGCACAAAGAAAAACAAATAAATCTCACTAAAGACAGGGAAGACTTTTGCCGACAAAAAGGACATAAAACAAAATGCAAAACTGGAGAGTGCGAAGCGCGTATCAAAAAGGGAGGACCTGTCTCTCAATCAAAGCATTTGTCCAAGGAAGTAGATCTACAAAATTTCACCGCGATTTTCTCTCCTCTAGGTGAAGCCGAAATAAAAAGATCTGCTGAGAATAGTTCGGCAAAATCGAGCAGAATGATATCGTCGAAGCATCACATGAGAGACAATACTTTTTCCCGTGAAAAGATTCATCATCAGCAAAATCTACGAAAGTTTCACCGAACAAATATATCCACAGTACTGGGGGAATCCGTTAAATTTTTACGGTTATTTCGCAGATAAAAAAACAAAAAAAAACCCCACAGGTCATGCATCAAAAAGATCCAAAGCACCAACGGACGTGGATTAAATTTCACGCATTCGTATGAAGTTTACCAATAATGACGTAATTCTGCAACAAACTCACAGAATACTTTTAAAACCCGAGCCCGACAGCTTTCTTCGAAATTATTGCAAAAATGCGAGTCAAGACACATTTTGGACACACGGTTTATAAAAAAATATTTCGACGCGCACACACGCGGAGTTAGCAAAATAAATCGGCGAAGTCGAATTAAAAAAATATTTCCGAGAACCATACATTGAATTCAATTCTCCATCGCGGGCGCAAAAAGAAGAAACTTGACAGAATACGTGTTGAAAAAACATGGACTCTAGCTCTGAAACTTATCATGGACATACAATTTACAACTAATCTTAAACATAGGATCCTTTCTACGCAAACGCTTCTTATTTCTCACCTCAAAAAGTCAATCGCATTAACCAAGAAAACTCTCGAAGTTCTAAGAATACAGTGTCGAAAAGGAGACTTCCACGAGTTTCTCGACAAGGAGGAGTACTGTATATGTTTTAGGAAAAAAAAAAAAAACTACGTATGTCTGACACTAGAAATGTCCCAAGATTCGAGTATAAACTCATTTCGTTTCTTCCGCACAACTGCGAAAATTACAAGTACCAGTAAAGTACATGGAAAACATGAATTGATCCCTATTGAATAATGTGTTCGGTGTGTTTGTAGACGTAGTCGGACTCCGCATCGGACATTTGATACCCCGCCGAACTGCTAACAGAGGCAAACCCTTCGTCGTCGGGGTCGACATCACTGTAGGACCCGTCAAAGCTATCCTCCTCCAACTGAATATCCAAATCAACGTCAGATTTGGACGCTTCCAATTTGCGCCTCGCGTGGATCCGGTCAGAAATGTTTTCCAAATTTTGCAGGGCGTCCGAGTACTTTGATTTCGCGTTGGAGATTTCTTTCTGCAACTCTTGCACTCGTCGCTTTTGCTCTTGCAAGTCGTTGTTGAACACATCTTTCAGGTCGAAATACGGTTTCGCTTTCAAAGCGTGCTTGTGAAGCTTGTCTTCCAAGCGCTTAAACTTGAGTTCCGCCTCGGCGAACGCCGCTGTCGTGTCAAGGTGGGCTTTTTCAGATAAAGCTCTTTGATGTTCCGCGTCCATGACCTAGACAGAAAAACAAGGTCATTATTACACAGTAACTTTTTTCCGAACCTTGAATTCAAATTATAGTAAATCATTCATAAAAAATTCTGTGAATACTACGTGCATCAATAACCGGAAGTTGTCAGAAAAATGGTAGAGGGGCACCAGAATGGAATTTTTATGACGATTTTCTTAATTACTAATCCTTTGAAAGAGATTTGAGACATTCTCAAGAGCCCGATGACCTCACAGAGGTTTGGATTCCAGGGTTAGCAAGGTCAAATACTGTACAAAGCTCAGAGAGAAATTTTTGAGCCAAAAGTAAAAAAAACAATCAAGCTTGACCTTCGAAACTAATCCATCCAAAAAAGGTCCTCTCATACCTACCACCACTTTGACACTTGTTCTCTTGCATTCGACCTGCGGTGATTCTCGCGTTTAGAAGCCAATTTTACTCGCAATTCCTGAGTCTGGTGACTTCAATCTTGGTGTTCAAACTCTTGTGTTGAATTTTCTAACTTAAATTCACTTAAATAGAAAAACCTTGTACCCGTACTAGGACTTTTTACCCCAACCGATTGAGCTTTCTATTTTTCTCATAAACAACTTTGCAGTCTTATTCAACCAAGCTATTCTCTAGCAATAAATTTTGTCAACAGCTTAGACGCAAATATCGCGGATTTTTAACCAATTTTAGCCACCCTATTTCGAAGCAAGAATCATATTTGTGGGTGAAGATGAATTTGCTAATAATATGATCGGGAAGAAAAGCATGACGCCAGTGAAGTTTTTGCATTAAAAAAAGGCCGACAAATTGATCAACGTAAACAACTGAAACACTAAAAATAAAAATTAGTAAGAATGGCATGTAACATGCAAAATTGCCTGAAGCTTCGAAACGAAAAGTGACGTGATTGTATTGCACAACGAATTTTTACAGTTCGACACATTTTTCCGAATCTTCTACAGAAACCGCACCAAAGAAATACAGTACGCATAAAATTTCATTTTGAGAAATTTAAAAAATCAGCATTACGGCGTCCTTCATTTTGTTCTCACAATCAATGGGGAGGCATTAACATCACTATCACAGTTTTCTATCGTTACTTTGAAAAGTAAGTATAGAAACGATCCTTCACGGAGTTTCTTGAAAGATTTTTCATTAGCTGTCAGGCAATCCATACAAATTCGTCACGGGAATTTATTTGTAATCGCTCCTTCCCGTGAAAAACACCCTCAAAACTTTTGAAAATATCCCCACAAAGTCAAAATGAAAGGAACCGAATTTAAAACAAAGAGAAAAATGTGAAACAACAGAATTTAATTTGTTCTGATCGACGAGAAGAAATACTGTACACCTTACACATGAACACAACAAAATAATATCCAAAATTCAACATCCTCCAGATGTTCCTCTTTGATAAGTATAGTGCTCATCTGATAAGGTTGTTGGGTCGTAAAAAAATTTCACATTTGCGGATTAAAAAAAAAACAAGTGCATTAATAGAAGCAAGGGTGAGTGACGTCACAATGAGGTCGGAAGAAAAATGAGTTATCATATGAATATGCTCTCAAGATAGCTTTTTATCCGAACAGGTGATCATTTTAATTATAAGTCCCACACCCCAGTGAACAAAACAAGGAAGAAATGTTTCTCGGTTTATGAGTATCACTGGAGCGGCAGTTTGAACCAGGTGAACCCAAGAAAATTCTCGTTTGATAACGATAACTACAAGCACCGTCTAGCTTGAGCATGTTCAACCCGCTTGAACCTGGTTGCGGTATTTGCCTGATGAACCAGTCTTTCAACAGGTATCAACGATAATCAACATATTTTCTTACTATCGCGGACTCCACTAGAACCTGGATTAAGGCGAGTCCGTCGCCTTCAATACTCGACAAGGGGATTTGGAATAGACACTTGAACCAGGATCCAGACACCACGGGGATCAACGATACACGTGTATCCATTGAACTCTTCAACCACAAAGTCTCATCAATTACGGTAAACGCTTCGCTGGGCAAGGTCATAAATGTGACTTAACATTTCCGCGTTGTTTCTTATGAAAACCAGAAAGCTGGTTTGAAGAATTTTTACATACAGTACAGTATTACTAACGAACCTAATTGATTCCTTAGTTGTAGTTGAAATAGCGTATGGGCTTGGAGAAGTTGAATAACCGATAAATAACCATCATGATCTGGATTCTTTCCTCAGCAATGCATTCGAGCAAGCAATTTATGGGAGTATTTTTTTTTTCAGAAAAAAAAATGCACACTTCTTCAAGCTAACAATATTCAAAGCTCGAATTAACAAAAAGGGCGAGAAGCAGACATCTTCGCAGAAAGTAGAAAAAAAACTGAAGTTAAGTAAGACTTCTTTTTTTTAAACTTGTGCTTTCGAAATTTATGTTCCAGGAAAAGTGTGTATTAGAATTCCGAAAATTTTCAAATTAGTTTGGCGTTATTTTCTATGCATTCTAACCCAGTCAAGGGTATCCATCTTGATCAGAATCCGGTACTGCGTGTCTAGGAAGTTTTTGAGCAGTAGAGAATCAAAAAGACAGTAAAAATAGAGAGTAAAGAACGCATAACGAAGGAATTTAATTTTTTGAGAAAAGTGCATCAAAATATCACGGTAAGGTTTACAAAGAAGTGTCCGACACCGAAAAAGGGGAAACAAGCTGGTTTTTATTTACTTGAAATAACGATCTGTACTTGAAATAACGATAAATATCTGTGTCGAAGAAGTTCTTCCCGAACTTCTTCGACACAGATATGCTAATTTGGTGACATCTACTCAGATCACAATGATTCGTCAGTGTAGTGGGTGAAGTATGAAACCGGATAACCCGTACAGTTCGGTATCGTAAAAACTTGAGACTGCACAGCAAGTACAGTATTTGGAAACTCGTCACATGGGGGACTTGAAAAATATCTTTTGTTTTTACCTTGATGGTGGCATGGTTGAGCATTTCCTGCCAAGCGGCGTCAAATTCCCACTGGCCCTTTTGCGAAAGAAACCTTTGTTCGGCCAAAGCAATGGTTTCCTTGGCAGCTTCGTGAATCCCAGTCGCTCGTTGGAAGTGAAGTGCGGCGTTTTGACAGTCCAACTGCGCCTTTTTCGCGGCTTCTCGAGATTCGTAATACGGCCTGGCCTTTTCCACGCACGAGCCAAGCTTTTTCGACAGGGATTTGATTTGTTGGGAGGATTCCGTTAAAATTCGGCGGAACTTCGCATTGGCTTCGTCCAATTCAGTTTCCAGTTTGTTTATCATGTTGGTGCAAGTGTTGAGGTTCTCAAGTTCCACCTTCACAAATACGCAAGCGTTAGTTTTTTTTAAAATCAGGATTAAACGATTACGGGTCTTAGAATTTGCATCCTTCAGACAAGATTAAAAATTACGAACTTACAATTTTCAGTACACGTACTGCACTGCGCATTGTACATTTCGGGCATAAAAAAGTAAGCCTCGCCTTCGCAAATGGATATGCCCTGAATGATTTGGTACATTAAAATACACACGTCAAATCAATTTTCACTGGTTTTGCGATCATTTTAACTTTTTGGATTGACCTGCTTTTTTTGGCGATCACCAACGCGAGAAAAATATATAAATGAGTTGATGCACGCTTCTTATTTGTCAATTTAAGAAGTTTTAGGTTTGCTTCAAGAATATTTCTGCTTACCAAAAAAATTTCACATTATATAAAAAGACACAGCTCCAAGAAAGAAAAAAAGATACATACCCAGGAATTTTGAACAATCCGAATTTCAATGGGGATGATGGAAGGAATCAAGCGCTTCTCAATATCCTCACTACTTCAACACAATCGTAAAATTTTCATTCCTGACACAAGCGATAAAAGTAAATAGTCTGCGCAGTTGTTCAGTACATACAAATTATTCACACTGCCGAGCCCTCCAACATGTGTTACCTGGAAACGTGACCCAACGACGTAAATAAAATGGCATAACTTTTATTTTTAAATATAGGTACTCTATATATTATTTCAAAGTTCTTCATCATTAAAATGTCCAACTCAGGCGCGGCATCAGAAACGAACCTGAACACCAGGGTCCAGTCGCTCCAACGGAATCACGCTGTCTCCCATGATGAATTCGCTAGGAATTTATCTTGATCCCGGATCCACAATTGTTCGCAAATGACGTTAAGGACAGGGCCGAGGGTTTCCAAATCAGATTCCAGGCCACACGTGGTTCCGTTTTCGATAAGGAAGACAGGAACTCGATATTTCCGCTCGAACTCTTGCACGTCTCCCAGACGTACTTCCTGTTTGACGTGATCCAATCTAAGGATCGAACAAAATGCAGTTTTTCAAATTACAAGTGCGGTGAAGTATCTGTCATACAACTAAAACTCAATCAGCATTGTACAGTACTGTATACGAATAAATCAACAAGCGTTAATGGAAATACAAGTCGACTTAGAAGTACAAGGAGTACTTCGGACGATCACTCAAGACCATCATTATGGTATCAACACGGAGTTTATACCTTCCCCGACATGGAACTATCAGATAAAAAGAAGGGATTCATGTATCAGCAAAAAGAATAAATAAATGTAAAAAAAAGTCCATTCAAAAATACCTGTTTCTACTCCAACAAACAATTTAGTGGGTCACAAAATTGTCTAATCAAACGATCAAAAGCTCAACACACAAATTTTCAAACACGAGCAGATCCCATCTCAAATTGAACTAAGAATTATACAGTACCTAGGCAATAAAAAAATAGCATTAGCAAACAAAGTTGGAAGCCTTACTGCTAGATTATGACTTCCATCCTTTGAGATAACTTTAGGAATACGATACTAACAAGGACGACGAGTTTCCAGCAAAATTAAATACAGGAACTGTTATTTTTGCATTTTTCATACGTAAACAATGACGCATTCGTAAGATTTTGAATTCCAGATATTGAGCTGCGAAGAAAGGCAGGGGGTTTAAATTAGAGTATAAGTCATATTTTCGAATGCATTACGCGAAAAGTGAAGAAAATCCGTCAATCAGTGGATCATGGCATTTCGTTAATCTCTCAGATCGTCGGAATTAAAATGGAAAGTGACATCCAGAGTTTTTAACGTCACAAAATACAATGCAAAAAGCAAATGATAGGAATGCAAAACTCTTGAGAAAAATTACTGAATTTTCTTCTGCAATCCAAAATAAGACAACATGCCTCGGTGCGCTTCCTGGTGTTTTTTGTTGTTGTTCCTGGCAAAATGAATTTAAAAAATTGATGCCATCACGAAAGCTCTTTTCATCGAAAACTAAATTTCCTCTTTCGATTGAGTAAATTGATCAAAAAAGAGGAAATATTCCGAAAAGAAGCGTGATACAGCCGTTCGATGTGTTTAACGCCGTGAATTCAAAGTAATCCACAAAAGGATGTCATAACCAAAACCGGAAATGGACATCAAACAAAGCCTGCTTCTCTTTGATCGACGCGATCTCATTAAACAGCTCCGGCGATGCTGCGTTGTGAAAGAAATAAAATCCGTCAAAAGTAACATTTTTAATTATGTAGGCTTAAATTTGTCATGCGGGTGAGATTTATGGAAACAATCACTTGATTAGACTGACATAATAATTGCATCTCGCACACAGAAACGAAATCATTCCAAATGTCACCGCTATTCCAATTTTCGTGAATCACTTGAAAAAATTGCGGGTACTTCATTCGATAAAAGTAAGTTAACAAGAAAATTGAATACAGTACCGGGTTTCTCCTCCGGAAAGATAAGTTATGTTCAACATTACAATATTGAAGCACTGCTTATGCACAGAACATCCATTAGATAATAAACACATATGAAGCACACACATGAACACATTTTCGAATGCTGATTTCACTCACGGTGCAGCACGTGAGTAAAACTCTTCTTCCTTAGTAAAGCATCCTAATCGTACAAGCGATTTCCACATTATGGTCCATCACTGGAGGAAATCCGTATTTCAATATACTTCCTCATTCAAATATTTTCAACTTTTTTGCGTGTTGATGCGATGAATGATTCTACACTTCAAAATTGCATGTCAATATCGCCTGAATAAATAACTCCTATCAAAATAATATGACTTGAATCATACCTGAAGAAATGCAAAAAGATTCCCATAACAACTACAGTATATGAAAATCGAAGAAAATGAAGTAGTTCGAGAGGTTCAAGTGAGAAAACTTTAAGATACAGTGTGTGCATCTTCTTCGACGATTTGCTTTTCTCTTTAGAAATTTTGATAAAATTCCTTTTCATCCTTATTTTTCCATATTAAAATAATAAAAACGGTTAAAAACCCGTTCGTTGCTTACTGAAATTTATTGTACAGCATTCATAACACATAAAAGCTCTCATTTTCTTCCAGGCTACCCATTATACCAACCCGGAAAAGAGTGGGTTCATCACCTTCGCCTCCCACCCACTGCACAGAAACATGTTGCACAACAAATATCATCACCTACAGCTTTACAGTCAAACCCCAATTTAGTTCCACCATCCGAAACTCGACATTTTGTGGCACTAAGCAAAGGGCAATACAAAAAGGGAGGTTTAGTTTAGGGTGGCTACCCGAGGCAAAATTTTGTTGTTCACTTCATTCTAAGGATCTCAATTACGGCATGTTCCATCAGAACAAAAGGCATGAAGCTATTTTGAAACTGGCATTGCAACATTTTGATTTTTTTCTCGTTTTAAAAGAGACAATCAGAATGTTGCACCTATATTTTACAGGGAAAAAACAGGGCTTTTCTTCAATACAGTATTAGTGGTTCCATACAGTATGCAATGAAAGCAATTATTCCAAGAAGCTATCATGATAAATTACTCGAAATTAATAAATAATTCATCCAAGAATGAAAAGTTTCTCTACTGTGGAGGGGATAAAAAAAACGGACCCAAAATTAGATTAATGATGAAGTCACCGGGGCCACCATTCATCACTACCAAATCCTTATGGGATATAAAAGAAGGGCTTGATCAAAAATCTTCTGGTCCTTGAATTTTTTTAAACCACCAGAACATTCATTTCATTAGCAAAATGCATTTGAATATCAGCTTCACTAAAATTTCCATTTTATCCAATTCCATGAAATGCTTCTCAAAATTGGAATTTCAATTTTCCCCTTGATTTCCAAGGTTTGTATGGGGATCAGTTCAAGATTTCATCTGAAACAAGAGATAAAATAACAATTTTGTAGGGCAGGCACATTTTAAATTCAATCTCCAGATTCTTATTAAAGGAAATACATTCACCAGAATCCTTCCGGACTAAAACTCCCATTGATCTGATTTTTGAAATTTTCTGTTTTTACTACTTGGTGAGCAATTTATGAGCTGTAATGATGAACCATTCAAAACATTTTGCATTCCTCCCTTGTAAGGATGAGGTACTGTTAGCAGTCATTTTTCTTCTGTGATCACTTGAAAAAATTAGCGGACAAGCAAAAAAAAGAGAAAAATTACATCATTTATTTATGAGAGGAAAACCTTAAAAATAAAAATGGATGAGAAGGAATTCTCTGCTATCTTCCCAACAGAAATTGAGAGCAATTTTTTGTTTTTTGCAGCATGCATACAATTCACCATGGACTTCCTTCTGGGCAAAGATTCTAGAAAGCGTAAGTTTAATAGCTTACAAGTATTAGACTTGGAGAAGTTTGAGTTATCAGGGTTCAACAGGGGAACAATCCTCAGTACAATATTAGACTAAGACCACCTATATTAAATGCACAGTTGCTGTAAAGTGGTGCCTTGCCTATCATACACAATTTGTTCCCATGCCACTTCTGTTTGGCAATATTTTTGTAAGGCAAGACACTTTTTCCCTCAAGGATCAATGTAAATCCAATTAATTGATTCCTGAAAAAGAAATCTGTCAGAAAAACTTTAAAATTTGCTTGAATCTTCAAAAAACAACAACAACAATTTCCAAACACACTTCTATGGTTCATTCAAATGCTTTTCCTTGTGAAATTGTCTTGCTCTCTATCGAGAATAAATAACAGAATGTATATCAATCGTACTTCATGTATAAGTGACATCTAGGAAAAGAGTAATTATTGAATATTAATTCTTGTGGATGATGCTTCTTCATGAGGTACAAAATAATGTTCACATCTTGAAAACTAAAACTTTCTTATACATTTCATCATTATTTTATCAACACAGGACAGAGAAAAGCCATGAAAATGTACCTTGATGCATTTTGAGAGAAAGTGGAAGACAAATTGGGCATTCAAACCCTTTCCCTGAAGTTCAGCATGCTGTCAAAAACTCATTCAAGAAGCAATTCAACACCCAGAATGTTGAAATTTCAATAACCCGTAATTCTTCTTTCTTTATTTCTTCAGGAAAGAAAGAGTGGCATTGATCAATTATTTATTTCGAAAATATTATTTCAAGGCAGGACGGGCAAACGTTCCTTAGGCGGTACAACGTTTTTTAGGCGGGTCATTTTTTTTAAATTTTCCTTGCTTTTGCTAGGCGAGGCATCCCTCAATTAACTCAACCCATCCCATTTTCGAGCACAAATGACGATCCTATCACAGTCTCTAATTTCCATCCGAACACCCAAACACACACACACGCATGTGCAATTTGGAACTCGTACTTCTTTTCACTGTGAAACAACACGGATTCGCCCACTAACCTAGAGCCGATGACAGTGACGACAGACTTCTGGTCCGGCACGGAAAAGGTGGACATCAACCGAGGAATATCCTCGAAACTGCGCTTGTCCGTGAGCGAGAACACAAACAGGACTCCGTCGGCTCCTGCTCTGCACGCCTTTAGCCAAATGACGCGGGAGTGGAGAAAAAAGTGTCCTTTATTTATCCAGACAGACGCACCAGGCAACAACGAATCCGCGCTCAAAACGCAAACAAATCGTTTCTAGCTACCAAGAGAGTCGCACCAGCGTTTCCCACACAGCCGCGCTCATGAAGTGATAACGGGCAGAAAAGGCATATACAGTACAGTAAAAGCCAAATGTGCATAGTACCGCAGAACTTTGATTATCCTCGTACAAAATTCGTGTACATTGATATGTATAACAAAGTACAGTAGTCTGAAATTCAAGTGGTCTGCAACCCCTGGTCTGCGGACCAGCGCCGGTCCTCAAGAAATTTTCTTCAGCAAAATAAATTTATAAGAGGTAACAATGGAGTTTGATATCTTCAACTAAAATTTCGGGAAAACAATGGCAGTTGAAATGCCATTCAATGAAAAAATAAAAGTTGGCTTTTCGCCTAATAACACTTGAGACAATTTTTCACACGGTGAAAAAAAATCATTGTAAGTATTCAATCCGAGAAACCTTTCTTGAAGGGCCAGCTTTAAAATTTTGTTCAGGATATTCTACTGTAGCTGCATTACTGGATCTTGGATTGATTTTTGCAACGACAATGTTGATGGGAGGAAGTCATGGCAGGTATTTGAAAAATGTCTGTCGGGCTGCAAAAATATTCTGGAACTTTGCCGGTTCGCAAAATAATTCATGGAATTTTGCCGGTTCGCGGGCCCAAAAAGCAACGATGGAGAAAACTGTTCCAAACTCAAAATACTGTACACTGGTAACCCGAAAAACAGACGCTTTGCATAGCAGCTTTTACGGCACAACAAACTCACCAATTAGCAAATGTTTAAAAATGGAGTTTTCATTTTTTTGACCTCAGTTAGGTCATTTACGCCTGCATCCCCTTTCTTTGTGAAAACTGCAAATAATTATATTATAGTACAGCATTTTCGAATACGAAGACTAACCGAACACTAACTCATTCTCTAATTTACCACGCACACCTTTGTTAAACGAACACAATTTTTCTTCACATGAAACGGGAGAACAAACAAGTAATAATCCTTCGAACCCCATTCACGTACAGTATACATGTATATTCGTTGAAAAATAACGTTACAGTATTTATTTTCTTGAAATTTTTCTGGATCAAGGTGCGTGTGTCACACGGGTAAAAATGCACCAACCCATGTTGCATGACCTGAATTTTTGCTGCATATACAAGGAACTCAAAACTTCACGTAAAGTAAAACATAACACGATGCGAATGACAATTATTTGATGATTGTTATCTCACTTCGAGCAGATAGACATTTTCAGAGCTGCTGATAGTAGCGTTTAATTTACTGTATAGCATTTCAATGTTTTATCTAATACCAATGCTTTTGAAAAAAATGAAGAAAAAATGCTCATGGCATACAGGAATTTCTCTTTTAAATTGACATAGGACTTATCTTTGCCCTCCTTTGTTCTAACTTCGAAGACTAAACCTAGAGATAACGAATACGTCGTTCAAAAGATGAAAAGTGTATTCTCTTAAACTACGATCAGCTGGACTCGTGATGAACAATAACTTTGCAGTCGAAGTTCGAAAAATTGTAAAATTGATGTTAGCGCAAGGAATCTCAGAATAAAAGAAAATGCGCTCCGCCCTGACTTCAACCTTGCGATGACTTGGCAAGTGAAATGATTCACGACCTTTTCTTTGACAGGAAGGAGTCTTGAAACTTAAACCGTTACCCTGACTAAGAGTTTGATTATATTCTTGGAATTTTGGTGCATCATCATTCATGACTTGGAGTACATTTTAAACATACAAAATCTGGACAAAAATCAAAGAATCGCGGATTGTTGCGGAGAATCGCGCAAGTAAAGCAGCAGCAACAAAAGTTAAGTTTATTCCTCAAGGCCCAGCTGTTCTTGCAAAGTGTATCTCGATCTCGTGGCATTTTCCAGATGCCAGGGGAGATTTTTAGGAACCCACTGAAGTGACCCTAAATCATATCATCTGAATGTTGGGGCACCACACTTTTATCAATTTACCACAAATGGCATTGCTCATTAGTGGAAGTGACCATTGGATGTTTTTGAGAGGCCTGCTATTGAAAAGAATATAAAAGTCAAAGAAATGGAGGCACTGGGTGAAGTGAACAGAATTTTAGGATGGAAGGCACCAAGCCCCCCCCCAACACTTTTCGACGCTACCACTTCTGCTTTCACTTACAGTATTACTACCACGCACACCTTTTTATAAATTAGGAGAAAAAAAGGTGCGCATCATAGGTAGGTATCAAATTTTTGAAAACTTCCAAAGCTTAGGTGCATGTCAAACTCAATTCCAGCAGTTAATTTTCAACAGATAATTTTAAAATGGAAGCAATGTGAAAATTAAGATTAGCTTTGACTAAAATTCCATTAAAAATCTGAAGTTTGTTGCATTTTTATTTTCAAAATACCGTATTCACTCAGAAAAGAAAATCATTTCGAATTTTTAGCAAAGATTTTGGAAAAAAATGTTACCGCAATCTCGCGAAAGACACGCAACTTGGTTTCCAGTCATCATAATTCCCATTTGAAATTTTTTTTTACTGTTTTGGGTGAAAATCTAAATTCAATCCCTCGTAAAACTTCAATTTAATGGCGAAATTTTTGTTTCATACAAATGATAGTGCTGTACAGCACTCCATCACTCAAACAGAAAACTCTTTTAAAAATCAAGTGGAGAAAAAATTATCCGATTTGGAAGAAAAAAGTTCAACTTGAAATCGTGTATGATGCGCACCTTATTTTTGGCTTCAATTCATTGGGAGGAAAAGGTGAGTGTGGTACTCGATTAAATAAGGTACTATAATGCCATGTTCTGTCTCTTAAAATGGGGTGAGCCTCTTACTTGGGGATACGTCTTCCTTGCGGGTACGTGGTACTAAAGTAAATACAGAAGGTAATTTCACCTCGATTTCCCAACAGGGTCGCCGAAAGTGGCAAAGGAAGTAAAAAAAAAAAAAAAAAAAACCAACAACCAACCTGTAAAACGTGAGGAAACTTTCTCGAAGCGACGTCCCCGGCGTCCCAGAGCTCAAGACGAAACAACGAGGCTTTGCCTTGTATCTTCAGGGGCCAATAGATCCAAGTGACTTCAGCACCCTGAGTGTCCGCACTGCCAACGGTGGACGGAACGCAGCCGCTCAGGCGCCTCACAGTCGCTGTCTTCCCGGCACCAGCTCGACCGCACACAAACAATTTGTAGGACAGTATAGGAACCGACGCTGGAGTGTTCGGGCATTCAAGCAAACCTGCAAGTTATGACACAGTAGCGTTAAAAAAAAGGTTTGATTATAATAGAGATTCCCATCCTCATCTAAATCAACGCTTCAGCGTGATCGTATGGTTTCCCTACATTTTTCCGGTCGACTGCGAACGTTTCAACGAGGCATGCACAATATAAAGTACAACCAATATTCGGCCTTCTGTCTGATTTTCTACACCTAAGCAATGAATGGCTTTGCGTTATTATTCCTTCTTTAAAAGAAAACAGGCGATAGACTGGTGATGCATTCTTTTTTGAAAATGCCTCGAAAAATAGTACGGGAGCACAAATCGTCTGTGTTACTGACAATTAAGTCACACACACAATGGATTCACAGAACAACAGTACAGGTACTCTTTCTCTACAACGATTTTCTTCGTACAGTACAGAACAGCATAACGATTTTGTGTGTGGTCCCATTGGGATTATCTACCCATATTGTAGGGGCTCTGACTTCTCCCTATAACAATGTATGTAAGGTTCCCTGAATTTAGTTGTAAAGAGGATCCATCTGAGTTGATTCTCCATCAAAAGAATCAGAATTTGTCACTTTTATTTTAGCTATAGCAGTGCAAATTTTCACGAACACACATCTTTCATGACAATGGATAATTGCTATCCCCTAATTTCTAATCGCCAATCGTCTAATTGAGTCCAGTAGTAAATTTACGAAAATGAGGATGAGAAAATCTTGTTGAACCGAACATAAGAGCCAAACATGACATTTCGAAAGGTAATAGCGAATACTGTAATTCAAACCCTTTAAAAGTTACAGATATATTTCTCCTTCCTGACTTGCTTCACGAACGGTTATTGCACAGGATTGATGTGAATATTGCGTATTTCAGGTAACATCCGAGAAAAATTCCCTGCTACAGCCAAAGACTATGGTGGCAATACCGGTAATTTCTCCATTTACTGTATTTGATGCTTCCATGTGGATTTAAACCGATTCATCAATAGTCTTGAATATAATAACTGTCCCATTCAATGATTAAAGACTCGAGAGTCAGCAGGTTTATTTATTAATTTTTCTAGAGGATAAAAGCGGCGGAGGGATAGCTCCGAAGCAGCTATTCTTTTCATAATTCACGAGACCGACTTCAGACCGAATTTAAATTTAATAATTACCCTAGGACTGAACAGAACGCCGAAATCAAATCATGTCACCGTCGATGAAAATAAAGTGAATTTAACATTTAAAAGAACTGCGAAAAGTATCATCCGAAACCTGCATTTTTCTGGTTATGCACCATTAACTGTGGTATCTTTGCGGAGTCCAATTCGAACGAATGAAACTATACTGAATTACATTTCGATAAAAATAAATTAGTAGAAACGGTTCAACTCTTTCGGTTATCGCAGTTTATTAAAACCGTGTGCGAGTAACTCACCGAATTTCCTCCTGCGATTTGCAGAAGGCACAATGATTTTTTTGAGCAATGATCGGCCTTCCTCGCTTTTAATCCAACCGGGATCACACAATACGCCGTGTTTCATGGTCTATACACAATATCGCGAACATGCCAACGCGTTCAAGTAGAAAAAGACTTTCAAATCACAGATCTGAAAAAAAAAGAACCGCCGTTTCATGCTTTCATCAATCGCTTTTTTCAGTTTACCCTTTCATAAGTACAATCCTTACATACAATCGATTTCACGACGCAGCCTAGAAGGAAATCAACTACAACGATCTTTACGAAGTTGTAATCACAATGTGCATTTGACACGGTTTACCAGCAAACTTCAATACGAATGCGGATAAATGGTGCATAGCAGAACAATCACGAACAACTCAATTTCCGTTCTGAAAATGTACAATACGACACGGTTTAAAAATCTTTTGAAACAGAATTACTGGTTTCCCGTGGGCCCCCTAAAGTTGATAAGCTTCGAATTACTCCCTGAGCCCTGCTCGGGAAACAAATTTCATTTTGCGAGGAATGCCTCCGTCTCTTCCTTCGGAAACCTTCTTTTCCACTCTTGTGAAACTACCTCATACAAGATTTGACTAAGAGCCACGCTCAAAGTTATCGCCTGGGCATAGGTTTTCTACCCGACATTGAACACCTAGCACATAAGGAGTCAGGAACTTATCACAGGCAGTGGACTCCGAAGAAGCGTATCTTCCCTTCACTTGATGACTCAAGGTCCACAGTACTCAAAATAAGAGATGAGTAAATAAATGCCGGAAATGATACTACGATTGACGTGGAAACTCACAAAAATTTGATATATTTTTACATTCAACGGTTAGTTCCTGGGTTACCTCGAATATCAGCCACTTTCGGGAGAAAAGCACCGCTGATCTTCGATCCTCTTGGCTTAACCCATCTCGGTAGTGATGTCACAGTTGCAACAATGAGAAACAAGGAATGAAGAGATATCTAGGGAATTTGTGCATAATCTTGCCATTAGTGGATGCCCGCAGTAGGTCGAAGTTGGGGGGCAGTATCGAAGTCTCCCCGTATTAATTCCTGTAAATACATGGAATTCTCCCAAGGAAACCGAACACTTCAGAAGTCAACACTATTCGGAGTGAATTTCGTTGGTGATGGTAATATATTGGACGTGAGGACCTATGTTAAATTCTGGAATGCCTGTTCGGTGGAAGGCTTCTCCAAGGTGCGAACTTCGGTAGCTGTTCGTTCGACAGAAACTGAATATCGTAGAGCGCTGAGCCCCGGGTGGAGCTTCCAAACGGTACGCCGCTGCCAGGTACTGTAAGGTCGGTAGCGGGATAGTCTCCCATCTGCTGCACGGCGAAGGCGTGGGTGGCAGTGCTGGGGAACTCCGCGTCGACGGGGCTGGTGACTCCTGAGCTGCGTTGGAAGGCCCGGCGCGCGGCGCTGGCGGGTCCAAAACGTCAGTAGGAGGGGTTGGTGGCACGTAGGGTAGCGCCGCAGCCTTGCAATTTTCTGTATTGCGAGTCATCGTCGCAACGCTGTGACGATCAGGAAACAACCGGACGAACCCCCAGTAAGGTTTTATGAAAGAATCCTCGTCCAGTGTTACGATTTTCACAGAGTCCGTTTATTCGTCCTTCGGAACTCTTAGACGACAGCAACACAAACAGCAACACTTTCACAACAAATAGTCCCGGTTAAAACAATGTAGTCCGAGTCAAAGTCAGAAGCTAAGTGATGATCTCTGCTCCGGTCCTCGCACACCTCTCCTCCGATCGGGTTATCCTTCATCGGTCCTGAGGTTAGCTGGGTGGGAGAATATTTCTGGGATCATTAGTTCAAAAGGTCGCGGGTAGATGTCGTTACTAAGGGGCCTTTGGAGGGTCCTTACTCTCCCCCCCCCCAGAAAAATGGGATGGGGGTCAAGGTAGAGCGGAGCGAAAATGAAGAACGCGATCACGTTTTTCGTGAAACATAGGAGTGATCTGGCCGAACCGCAGGTGCGGGGTGAGGGGTAACCAGCGCGTAATCATGGTCGCGAAAGATGTTGCGCTGGGGGGAAAATCCCGCCGTCGGATCCGCGAACCAGGCGTCGGACTCGCCGTAGGGGTCGTCCTGCCCGGGTGAAAATACCGGTAGGAGATGGTCCCGCCAGATTGGGTCTGGAGGGCAGGGTAAACCGCGGACGGGTACCAATTCCCACGTGTTCGCCCGACAAATGGCCCCCTCAGCGCCAACATGATATTCGCCGTGGCCCAAATCGCGTATGACCATAAAGGGGCCAAGCTGTTGTACCCGAAACCGTCGATCTGCCGCGTGCGTCTGGACGGTGGGCAATCTAGGTCGAATTGCAACGAGGTCGCCGGGCTTAAATCGCGGTCCTTTCTTCTGGTCGGCGGCGTGACAGAATGCCTGTCGAGCTTTGGTGTTAACGTCTGGGACTTGCGCGAGTTGTTGGTCGATGGTGGGGGGGTCCACCCCAAACCGGCGGTCAGATTCCAACACAGAGGGTTGCTGCAGGAATGCTTCTGTCAGAGTTATACCTGTTGAAGAGTGAATGGTATTGTTATAACCGAATACCGATTTGCTCAGATGTTGATCCCATGTTGTACTCTGGCCTGCCACGTATTTGGCCTGAATCTGGCCCAACGTCCGAATTGCACGTTCGCAACAGCCATTGCCTTCCGGGTGGGTGGCCTGGGCGACGTGTTGCTGGACGCCAGCATCGCGCAAAAACCATTTAAACGCGCGTGAGCGAAAGACAGAATCACAATCTGTATGGACATATTGAAAGAGACCATACTGTCGAAACACTTCAGCCAGGAAGGGGATGACAGTTGGGGAGTCGGCGTTCTGGATAGGTTTTGCGATCATATACTTGCTGTAGTGGTCGACGGCGATGATGGCATACCTGTGGCCGTCCGCCGAGGTCGGGAGCGGGCCGTAGAAGTCAAGCGTAAGACGTTCCCGGGCATTGGAAGAGACGATGGGTTCGAGTGGTGTTCCTATCTTGCGAGTCCGCGCGTTGTAGCGAAAACAGAGGGCGCAGCACTGGATCCGTTTCCACGTGTCTTGCCTCAGGTTTGGCCAGCTGTAGCGGGTCTTAAGCGTCTGATAAATCTTCTTCCATCCGGGATGCCCGAGTTCCGCGTGGTAACTGTCTATAATTTGTAGTTGCTCAGTTTCGTCAGGTACTGCTTTTGCCTGGGCTGCGTTGATCGACACCCGACTGAGTGCGTCCGGCCCCTTTAGAAATCGGCCCGGTTTATAGACAAGTTTAGCTCGGAATGGCGCAAGTTTAGTCTGCAGATAGATGAGGCGTGTTGTTTTTAACTCACCGAGTAACGCCTTATGGTCAGTAAAGACTGTGAAATCGCGCATCTCGAGGTAATGTCTAAACTTTTTCGTAACCGCCCACACAATGGCCAATAACTCACGCTCAGAGTTCGAGTACCGGGATTCGGTATCGTTGAGAGTGCGGCTTGCGTACTCCACGACCCGAGACTTCCCCGCTTCGTCGATCTGGACTAAGATTGCCCCGAGGGATGTTGAGGAGGCATCGCAGTGTACCTCGGTTGGTCTTGAGGGGTCCATGCGTTCGAGCCGCGCTGACTCCGCCAGGATGTCTTTTAGATGCTCAAAAGCTGCCGTTGCGTCGTCTGACCATGCCAGCTTTGTGAGAGGCTTGGCGGGGATGATTTGGCGCAGGGTTTTTTCGGCGGTGGCAAAGTTTGTGGGCAAATGTGCCCGAAGGTATGTCGCCATGCCCAAAAACCGCTGGAGTTGTCGCGTTGTCTGTGGCTTGGGGAAATCTCTCACGGCGTTCAGGTCCTTCTCGAGGGGTCTGGTGCCGGTTTGGTCGATCTCGTGCCCAAGGAAAATGATCTTCTTTGCTAAAAAGGTAGATTTAGAGAGGTCGACTGCGGCCCCTGCCTGTTCTAATGCCGATAAGACAAGGTCAAGATTAGTAAGCACCTGTGCAAAGGTTTCGCCGAAAACAATAATATCATCCATATACACCAGACAACGAACAAACAAATGATCCCGTAAGATGTGGTTCACAGCGCGCTGGAAGGCCGCGGGGCCGTTTTTTAACCCGAAAGGCATAACGCGGTATTGCATCTGACCTCGCGGAGTCCAAAATGCCGTCTTTGGCCGATCTGAAAAGGAAATAGGCAAATGATGAAACGCCGAGTGTAAATCAAGGCTACAAAAGAACGCGTTATGGCGCCCGAGAGCATCTAAAAGATCCTGAATAACAGGCATTGGATAACGGTCGTCGGTAAGGATATCATTTATCCCTTGATAGTTCTCGACGAGCCGCCAATGTCGGTGGGGAGGAGCATTCGAGTCCGAGGATTTTTTGCGGGTCAAAAACGCGGGCGAGTTATATGGCGATGCGGCCGGCTCGATTATGCCCGCCTCGATATACTCGTCAACCAAGGCTGAAAAAAGCGAATTCATTTCAACGGATTGCCGGAACGAACGGGTATGGGGGATCTTGTCCCCAGTAGTCTTTAGAGTCACCATGTGTTCGGGTAAGAACCCTCGTCTGCCCGACCACTGATGAAAAAGATCCGCATGTTTCGCGAGTACGTCGAGTGTTTGCGCGCGTTCATTCTCAGCGCCGTTAACGAAGGTCACTCCTTGTCCGACTGGCAGGGTAGGAGCCGCGCGATTCTGAATATTACGCTGGAACCCGACAAAAGCGCGATCTCCGTCGATCGTAAGCGAAAGGGGAAAATGTCGGAGCGCAGTGCGCCCCAGGATCAGCGGCGGATCTGACAGGTGGGGTAAAATTAAAAATGGGATCGCGTACTGTAACCCGCGGAAGGTAAAGTCCAAGATGACCTGTTGGGCGACTCGCGTGGTATCCGTCGTTAAAGCCGTAAGAACGTGAATTGAACAGGGGCGCGGGGACAGGTTCAGAGTCTGCACTAACCGTTGAGAAATGAAGGCATGTGACGCGCCTGTGTCCACCAGCGCTGGGATGAAAGTGTCTCCCACCTGAAGAGGTAGAAGGATCGGAGGAGGTGCGGCGAGGTCCGTATCTACACAGTGCGCCGCGTTCACTGTGACGGGCGACCGTTTCCCTGTAAGATCAAAGGACAGTTACGACCGATGTGCCCCTGCGCGTTACAATGAAAACAATAAAACACGTTGCCCGACTGAGTATTAGAAGTCGGCTGTGCATTGGGTGCAGCCGACCGCTGGGGAGCAACCTGATTTGTATCCGCCGCGGGAGCCGCCGGAGGAGGGCCTTGCTGCCGCTGGAGTATGCGGCAATCCTGTGGAGAATGACGCACGTATGCTCGGTGCCCCTCGCACCATTGTCGTTGTCCACGGGAACCGGTCGCCTTCGGGTTGTTGCCGGCTGGCTTCGAAGACTGCCGAGAACTGGTTCCGTGACGGGATGTGGCATGGTGATGTAACCGATAGCGCTCCGCTTCGGAAACCGCTTCGGCCCAGGTCCAGTCCCTATTGTCGATCCATTTCCGGCGTAGTTCATCTTGGAGACCGGTCGGCGCGCCCGTAACCAGCTGGTCAATCAGCATTTTTTGGCGTATGGCTTCCGCCGTAACCGGTTGTCGAGTCGGTGCCAGGAAAGAATCGAGTGAATGTTCTAACCTGCCGGCAAAACTCACGTAGCTTTCCCCGTTCTGAGGTCGCAGGTAGCGGAATCGATCCAAGCGGTCCAAATGCGGCGTGGGATGCGAAACCGCGATGGCGGTGACGAGCTCCTCAAAATCCCGAATGCCTCGGCCGTATAGGATTGATGCCGTTTCGCGAACCAGGGTATGTGTTTTGTTCAACAGACACCATACCTTCATATCTGTCGAGACGTTGTTGACCGCCGGCATCCGGCGAAGTTGGTCAGCGTAGTCCTCGAAGCTTTCATTCTCTCGTTGCCGAGGTAGGTCCGACAGCTGGGGTTCTCCAGGCGGTCGATAACATGGCGGGTGAATGACTGGCGGGACGGGCGTTGGGTTAGCGATGACGATCTCCTGAGCTGTTGGCGGTGACCACGACGTGATCTGCAAATCCAGGGGCCGGAGGTGCCACCCGGGGGGTGGTATCCAACCCTGTGCGAGAGACGCGGGGATGCAACTTGCCTCCAGGAGGGTGACGTAGTCAGAGCGCTGGGCCCCGGGTGGGGCTTCCAAACGGTACGCCGCTGCCAGGTACTGTAAGGTCGGTAGCGGGATAGTCTCCCATCTGCTGCACGGCGAAGGCGTGGGTGGCAGTGCTGGGGAACTCCGCATCGACGGGGCTGGTGACTCCGGAGCTGCGTTGGAAGGCCCGGCGCGCGGCGCTGGCGGGTCCGAAACGTCAGTCGGAGGGGTTGGTGGCACGTAGGGTAGCGCCGCAGCCTTGGAATTTTCTGTGTTGCGAGTCATCGTCGCAACGCTGTGACGATCAGGAAACAACCGGACGAACCCCCAGTAAGGTTTTATGAAAGAATCCTCGTCCAGCGTTACGATTTTCGCAGAGTCCGTTTTATTCGTCCTTCGGAACTCTTAGACAACAGCAACACAAACAGCAACACTTGCACAACAAACAGTCCCGGTTAAAACAATGTAGTCCGAGTCAAAGTCAGAAGCTAAGTGATGATCTCTGCTCCGGTCCTCGCACACCTCTCCTCCGATCGGGTTATCCTTCTTCAGTCCTGAGGTTAGCTGGGTGGGAGAATATTTCTGGATTCATTAGTTCAAAAGGTCGCGGGTAGATGTCGTTACTAAGGGACCTTTAGAGGGCCCTTACTGTTCTCTTGGAAGGATGTGTTGAAGGCGATGATCCAAACACTGCGTAGAAAAGTAGCGGAACAGTTAGCATATTGAAATCTTTGTGAATGTGAATGCTGCACGGGTGACGGATCACGATCGTCTCAGCAGAATTGTTTACCCTTACCTTACTTTAATCTCCGAAATGAAAACCAACTACTGTCTGTTATAAGAACAGCAAGAGCATCTCGCCTTACGGTGAAATCGTAACGATGGAAAGACGCTTGCGACACCTTTCGGGAGGTCCTAATCTCGCGGTGACATTGTCAAGAGACAAAACAGTCGAGAATGAAGGACGAGAAGAAACCATGGTTTATACAATGACTTTCGAGCCTCTTCTGCCGAAGGACCATGTTCATTCTTCTTCGTCGGGTTCTACTTTCAAGCGATATTCTCTGTTTTCGGAATCAAACTGTCCGTCTGTTTTAAATGATTATCCGAAAGTTAGAACTTCCGCCTCACCTAGTACGCGCGTCAGTGAACTGAACGAAGTCAAACGTTTCATCAAAGCATTCCCTCTCGAGTCGACAAAGGAACACGCTGGTCGAAGGAACGGAGATTTGCCTGTGATCCTTGTTAAACTGCAGCCTTTCAGGAAAGAAAGTGCCCGAGAAGGAAACGCGTCGAATTGTGACGAGGAATCATCGTTCGTGTTCAGAATCCGTGACTTACTGGATAAAACACCTCGGAGTATCAACTTCAGTTCCTACTTCGATTTCACGCATTCCATATGCGATGCCTGCTTTGATGTTAATCCGAATGATTCCATTAAACTCCGCGGGTGTTTGTCGAAGTTCTGCGACATTATGTCAAGATGTGTTCGTAATTCCCAGGCGCGACCATCGAACTTGCCTGACCCGACGTACTCAATTCTCGAATCTATCATTGCATTGTTCAGAACCCACATGCCGCTTGTGAACTGGGAGATCGCGAATCAAGATTTAATGACGTGCACAAGAAATTATAGTAGCTTCGCTGATGACGAATGCGTGCTGCGATTGATGGAAGACGTTAGCATATTGATCTCATTGGCGATTGAGTTTTTATGAATTGAGAAGAAGTTATGACCATTTGAAGCACTGTCGAGTTCTTTCTTTAGTTTATGAATTTACCGTCGTTATGCCAAAAGTTTTCGCACTGCGACGTGAATGGATTTTGATGGGCGGAAAGAATGCGAATTGCGCTGATGCGCGCGGCGTCGCAGCATGCTGTCCGAAACTGAAAAAGAAGATGTGATTGCCGATGAATCTCCTCCCCCCAGCATCTTCCGCATGATGCTCTCCAAGCTTTGCCCAACGTCCAAGGAGTTATTTGCTAGTTTTCTTCTGCTGCTTGCTGTTGTTTCTATTCTGGATGGCACGTAAGTGGCGATCCCCATCTGAATTTCATAATCAAGTGTAGTGCAATAGTGTTCTCTCTCATGATTTTTCACGATTTTTATTCGGGGCAGGAGATTGAAAACTAGGAAAGCCAGAGAACCGGAACTCTTCATAGAAAATTCTCTGATTCATAACTTTCCTCATGGGAACTTGGATGACGTATTTAAAGTCGCCTCTGCATCCGTGTTCTCCCTCATTTGCTACTATGCGCCATGGGACTCGGCGAGTCAAGAAGTTCGAGGAGAAATTGAAATCGTGGCGCGACTTTTATCCGAGAAAGTCACATTCCTTGCAGTCAATTGCTGGAACCCCGAAAGTTCATGTCGGAGCCGATTCTTGAAGATCCCGTATTATCCAATTATAGTGATGCATGTGAGAGGCTACAAAGGAATCGTTTACAAGGGTCCTCTGGAAGCGGGATACATATCCAGGTATTTGTTGTATATTCATTCCGTTTTAATGGCTTTTCATTTCGTTTTCACTCGTTCTGATGTGCATGGGTTTGTTGTGAATCAACCAAAGAAATGCATCAGTTAAAGTTTTCAGATATTGCCGTAGTAACATGAGCAGAAAATGCATTCTCTTGTAAGAATCTGCTAATTTTCATTCTCGGACTGAATATAAATTTACAGGCGGGATTTACAACGCGAAAAAACCATTCCTCCAGTCACTTGATTCTATAAGTTTGATGCGGAAAGCTCTGCAACTGGAAGTGACGAACTACAGATTTTCCAGGATCACCATATCATGTGTGTTTGTCATGTCCTTTCCAGATTTGTGATGGAAGCAACTAAGCGGGTGGTGAAGATCGACGATGTGGAAGAAGTGAATTCTTTGCTCCAGCGCAAAGATGCAGTAGTTTTGGGATATTTTAATATCACAAGTCCGAGTGTGGATTCAAACTTGCCGAAAGCTTTCACTGTATTCTATTCCACCGCCTTGAAAGCCCTTGAGAGTGATTTTGTCGGTGTTATCAGCTTTGGAGTGATTGTTGATCCTAGTGTGGCGAAACAAGTGGGTCTGAAAAGCTTTGGCATTGCAGTCCGCTCTTGGACGCATTCGGAAGTTTATCCGAATTTTGAAAATTTCACTGTTTCCTTGGACGTCGCCAAGTTCTTCGATTGGATTTCTCAAGCTACCACGCATAGTGTGAAGTGGCTGACGTTAAAAGGAGCTGTTCCATATCGTGGTCATGAGCTGTCAAAGCAGATACAACGAGGACCAACGTTGGTTCTGTTCTCTCCGCGAAACATGTGGAGGCCTGATTCAAGTGATCATCAATTGGTGAGTTTATTTCCTTTTAGTTTCTGTGTCACATTCTTACATTGACTGTCATTTGCACTTGGAGCAGGGATGAAGAATTTCTCGAATTGAATGAAGTATCGCTTTATAGTTGGCAAGTTCGAAATTTGATGCTTTTGAAAGGCATCACGTGAAGCCAATGTCATTGAATGATTTTTTGGGTCCGAACTAAATAAAATGCTGCGTAGCGACACTTCGAAGCTGAAGCAGAAATGATGCATGTTCATGGCATTTCAGTAAACTCGAGTTTCTCTGCAAATCATTTTTGAGCTTGTATCAAGCCGTGATGATCATTAACTTTCATCTGTTTTGATGCAGTTGATGCAAATCTCCGCCGAGTATTTTGACTGCAGTGCGTCAGAGAAGACGTCTGAGTTTGTCAAACGTCTCACAGAAACCAGAAGAAAGTTGTCATCAAGTCTTGCATTGGACAAACGAATGTGCGCGGAGACATTGAGCAAGTCTTTCATTGGAGAAACTATTTCTCTGAACGACGGCTTTTGTTCTTCAACTCCTCCGATTTTTCCTGATGATCTTCTTTGCGGCGTGGAAAACGCGTCTTTTCCGGCACCCATCAGCTTTCAAGTGCGCTCATATGATCGCTTACCATCAGTTGGCATTCGGGACAAACGTGTTCTCCTTGCGATGGAGTTTGAAAATAAACTTTCATGCAGATTGCTGAAGAAATCTAGGAATACGGAGGAAAACTTGACCAGCATTCCGACGTCGACTGCCCTTGTGCGCGGTTTGGGTTGCTACACACTCCACGTCGGAGAAGAAGAGGCTCTTCGTCCACTGAGATTCATTGCAATTGACACAAATGTGCATGCAGAATTTGCGAACATTTTTGGGGCATCTAACGATGAGTCTTTCGTTGTGATTTTGGATGCGAAAGAAGAGTCTCATTACTTGCTTCCTGGGCCGATTACGGAAAGCAAACTTGTCAATCTGGTAGCCAATTACAGTCACGGAACTATTCCTCGCTCAAAATTCACGGGTGGAATCCGATCTGAGTGTCTTGATAGGGAAACAGATTGCGTGGATGTTAACGAGCTTGATTCCTCAAATTTTGAGGAAGTCGTGAACAACAGAAAACAGGTCAGTAGAACCCAATTTTAATGCGTGAAGGTTACAGTATATTTGTTGAGATTGAAGGCTAATTCATGAATTGAATTCACATCTATTATTTTATAATCAAGGCATGAGTTATCGACGTATTCTGACTGATTGATACATTTGAAATGAAACAGTGGATGAACGTATTGTATTTCAAGTTATCGTTTTCAAACTTATCATGAAATTAGCAAAGAAATGCTGGATGCAAAAAGATGGTTTAATTGATCTAACTGTAGAAACTTCCTGAGTGACGTTTATGTAGTCACTCTGAGGACCTGTGCCGGTCTGCAGAAGTTTTTTGCCAGTTGGCAGGAAATTTTCTTCAGCTTGAAAAATTGATCAAAATTAGCAATTGAGTCTGTTATCATTGTCTGAAATTTCGGAAATTCAATGGCAATTGAAATCAACTGATAAAAAAGGCTTTTTTTCTTTTAACACTTGAGACAAATTTGCACCTGCTGAAATAAATAATTTAATTTCTAATTCTTACAAACTTTTCTTCAAGCTCACCTATATATTTTGAAGACCTTCCATGATAGCTGCTTCATTGGTTCTTAACTTGATTTTTTTTTAAAGCCAATACTTTTTCAATACTTGCCAGGAAGTCTTTCAGGCAAATCTTTTTTTGCAGTTCGTAGGAATTTTATGAAACTTATGTGGTCCGCAGATTTTTTTATTTCCCAGTCCACAATAAAATTTCTGGAAATTTGCCTATCTGTGGGCCAAAAAGGTCGGGGAACACTGATTTAGATCATGTCTGTGTAAATTAGACTGCGTGGAGTATTGGTTTCTTCAAATACGTTTGTCGTCTTTGCAGGACTTGGTGGTGTTGCTGTATACTCCCTGGTGTGGATTCTGTTCGTCTGCCAATCATATCTTCTTGACTGTCGCTCAGCAGTTTAAGGAGTTCTCGAAAGAAGTAAAATTCGTGCGTGTTGACAGCGATGCGAACACACTTCCGTGGGAGTACGACGTACCTGCCTTTCCAACAGTGCTTTATCTTCCATTCGATAGGTTTGTTCGTTTTTCTTATCCGCTTGTTTGCGTTGTAGGCGGTTTCGCCACGATTGTTTCTTTTTTTGCGTTTCTTTTGTTGGTGTTTACTGAGGTAGGTTTGAAAGTTTTGTAACTTTTCAGGTCTCTATCAACAGAATATTTTCAGAGTAAGTGATGCAGTGCTCAATATTTTTCGCACTTGTCTCTCATACTTTTGCCCACCAAACTTCAATTTGGAGAGAAGACACGCAAAAGGTTTCACTTCTGCGTGGAAATCCTTCATATGGTCCTATTTTTGTTCGTGGGTGGTCTGACTGTCGCAAGTGCATTTTAATGCTTCATTCGAATTAAAATCCACGTCTGGAATAATGGCAGACATCTGAACAACCACGTGTCGATGAAAGTATCTGAATCCTGACATTTATTTGTGTTGGTAATATTGAAGCCTACAGCTAATCCCAAAATGTCCGCCTTTAATTCGGAAATTTTCACTTCATGAATGCAATGGGAAAATAAAGACAAACGTGTTCCTAGATTCCGGTCTGTTCTTGGGTGTCCTTATCACTTCCAAGTAGCTCATTTTTCGGTTGATTGATTTATACGATATAAACTTTGATGAAGTTGAAGGAGAGGTCATTAAAAAAATCACTGAGGTGATGTTGAATCATGAAGAATTTGATGAAAGCGCGCTTCCAGAATTTGAAAGACTCCGTTGAGTTACTTGAAATTGTTGGAAAAAGTTTGGATTCCGGTCTGTTTCACAGTATTCTTAATTTCGGGTGTCCTTATCGCCTCCGAACAGCTTATTTTTCGGTTGGTGAATTGAAAAGATGAAAACTTCGATGAAGTTAATGGTGAGGTTATTGAACATCACTGACGCATTGTTGCATCATGGATAATGTGATTAAAGCGTTCCTCTCGAATTTGAAAGACTCTGTTGAGTTATTTACAGTGGACGAAAACATTTTAGGACGATCCCTCGCGCCCCTTGTTCAATCCTCATATAATCAAGACACAGGAAGTAATACATCGAATTTGTTTTTTCTGTATGCCTCCAGATGGAAAGATGGGATGATGTTCCCTTACAATGTTCCCCTGGAGCTGGAGAGTCTTCTGAAATTTGTGCTCGCGAATGCGTCCACGCGATTACAGTGGAAGTACTCGTTGTCCGACTGCGACGAAGCATGTTTGGCCAAAGTGCGTGCGGGGGTTCGAGTGCGAATCGGCTCTTTGTTGAGCAAGTATAGAGCCGGTGTGCGTCACGGGGTTCGATCGCGATTGTGGCGCAAAGGTATCTTGTCGACGCTTCAGCGATACCGTGCCATGTACTGGGCTTTCACTGACCCTGACCTTATCTACCGATTTACTCCGGTGTGATTCCAACTCTGTGTGTCTGTGCCTGAGACTGTGACGGGAGTATTGAGATTTTGGTGGTGAAGCGAGGATGATCCGATCGATGCCCGGTTTGATGTCTGGAAGTTGGAATGTAGTAAAATTTCTTTGCAACGAACTTTTGCAGCATAACAAAAAAACGTTTTCTCAAGTCTCGGCAGAAAGCTGAAAGAGTAAATGTAGAAACAAGTTCGTTCTAAGAAACTTCTTAATTCCAGTACATTTGAGGAATAGATTCTCCAGGTGGAAATTTCCTGACCAAGGCAGGCACAGTCTGAAATTTCCAGTCCCAAATGTGACAGTTGTTGCGTCGATGAAAGCTGTAATTAATGACAAACATGGTTCCTAGTAGTTCCACGTATCATCCTCCGAGAATGAAAAGATTGCTGCAACTGTTTGAATACGTGATTAAGGCTTACTTTTTCATATCATTCGGTTTTTCAAACAATAATAAATAATCTGAGAATGCCACAAAAAGCAAGATACGATCAAGTGGAGGCATGTCTGACGTGAAACAATTTTTCCAGTCATACATTTTGAAAATTTCGTTATAACATATTACTTGGTAGAAAAAAGCGTTTTCTGAAGTCCCCAAAAGTTAGTTGCAAGGAGATTTTACTGTTTTTTTTTCTCTATGTACCAGACGAGCAATGAGCGAATGATATTGTGCGGTCACCCTTGCCTAATTTTTTAGTTGCTTGAGATATTAGAGCACTTGGGTTCTTCTGCACGCGTTAAATCTCTTCCCCGGGAGAAGTTGGGTAAAGCGGAGGCGAAAACCATCTGATGATTGTTCAGTCGTATTTATTGAATAATTCTCATCTCTTTTGGGGTTAGTTCGGGATTCGATTGAAACGTGTTTGTGCGGTGATTGGAATGAGGCCGTGAATGAAAATTCAATTCGAGAACGTTACGTGTGATTGTGGCTTTTTGCATTCTGTTGCCAGAAAGAAGATGAAGCACGTTCCTCACGTAATTGTGACAATATTTGGTGTCAGTGCCGTCAGTGGTATCTAATATAAATATTCAAAGAAGCCTCCTTTCCGGTGATGAATCATGATCATATTTCAGACGGTATATGCGAACTGCGAAATCTATTTATAATTTGTGAGTCAACGTTTTCCGATCATCCTTGGTGTGCCGTAGTTCACGTGAGATTTTCCTCCCGAAACAACGAGAATATTGAGTGTTGACCAACTGGAGTTTTGTGTGTACCGCCTTTCCACGCTGTGATATCGGTTTCCATCTCGCCTTCATAATATTATTATTTTTTTGTTGCTGCGACCGGAAGTGGTGTGGTTATTTTGGACACGTGTTGAAAAAAAAAGAAAAAGTTGTGAGACGTGATATGTGAGATGGTTATTTTTGGCACTCGCTGCTGCTTTTTGCACGACATGTTACGTGGGTTCTACTGTTTTCTGCTTGCTTGATCCGCTTGTAACGGAGCAATCGGCCGTTTCGCAATCGTATGTGATCCAAACGCTGGAAAAGTGCGAACAAGGTCCTAGGCATGAAAGAATGAGTTTATCTTACCTTGGACATTTTTGAAAACTGTGTAAGTTGTATATTGTTGAAAAATGTTCAGGGTTGTTTTCAGGCTTTAGCGGGTTTATGCTTGAAATCAGTTTGAAAGGGCTTTTGAATTTCTGTTAGCATGATTCAAGTTGCGGATAAGCCTAACCTTGAGATGACGAAAGCGTTGCTTGACTATTTTTAATTGATCTCGCAGTGATTTTTGATGACTCCGAGTTGAACACTAGGGTATCCGAAGTCCAAAGATCAACATTTCAACGCTCGGACGAAGTGTTTGAAGCATCTCCCGTTATTAACATGAGTGTTTTGCTTTGACGGAAGTTCGAGCATGAGATTTGATAGGCTTTTGTTCAAAAGCGCTTCCGTTTCTCCATCTACGTTGCGACTCCGCTTTTCAAGTTCAACGTAAGGCCGCAGCTGAAGAAAATACCCTTGCGTTCAAGTTGCTGCAAGAAGCCTGAAGGGTTGATTGCTCGTCGTTCCATTTAAAAAATGTGATTAATTTAGAGGAGACTTGGACAACAGAACCCCTGTCAGACGTGTCGCAGAAAGCAGCATACATAGTTTATCTGTGTTGATTTTGTAAGAATTCGATTCATGCTGATTTTGTGAGGAGGCTATGATCTTTTTTTTTTCTATGCTTCTACGCGATTCGATTTTTTTCAGTACCCATAACAGTGTTATTGTGTAAACTTTTTTGAAATGGCGACGTCTGACAGTGAAGTCGAATCTGGGGCGAGGGGTCGGGTAATCGAGATGAAACCCCTGAACAGTCGTCGGCAAGCGAGAGAAGGCCAACGAAAGCTCGTTGTTCAGTCGAAGGAGGACATGATTCGGGTGAGTAATTCCGGCATTTTTTTTCCAACGATAACTCTTTGTCTTAATTGCTGACGGAAACGTTAAAAAAAAAAGTTATTCTGATTTGGTTTTGTTCAAACCCGGCATTTTGCGATTTTATATCGCAAAACGCGGGATGTTCATCGTTTTACTGGATAATTTTGTTCTGCTCTTTTAATTATGATTCAGGCGACTTGGTAATATTTTTGGGTTTTTCGTCACCTTACTGATGTTCCAATCCCTGATCAAGCAGTGGAACCTCGATAACTCGAACCTCTTTGTGTCCAATTTGCTTAATCCCTCTTAGTACCGTATTTCCTTGGAAAAAATCCATGAAAAACCCAACGCGAAGGCTTTCCTCCGTGAACCTGCGCAACTCGAATTTTTTGAAGACCTTTTGACTATTATTTTATTGACTGAGGAAAGAGGAAAGCAATGAAAACGCTACTTGATGTGTTTTGAAAAGAAGTTGAAGAGTAATTGGGCAATTAAACCCTTGCCTCGAGGTTCACTAGTTCAGCATCCGTCCAATTCATTGAAGAAGCAACGTAAAACCCAGAATAATGCCGATTACAATTTTCTGGAGTTACTCTTTCCTTCTCACGACATAAATGCTTGCTTTCGTAACTCGAATTTTTTTACTGGTCCCTTGAAGTTCGACGTGAAGAGGTTCAATTGTATCTTCTTGAGACGATTTATGGTGGAATTGTACACTACGCGAATAGATTCTGTAAAAGTGTAAAGCATGAAAGAGCAGTAAAATACTGGGCTAGTTGGTCATTATGTAAACAAATTTTGACGATGATCAGGATTTTCCTAGATTTGCGAAAGACCAGTTTTCACTGGCAGCGGTAATCTTGAAATTGGTACGATATTAATTCCGGTTTATTTTTCATTTTTTGCAGGCTTGGCGGCCGATTTTTGACCAGGTTAGTCGTCTCTTGAGACCAGAAGCCAGGTTTTTCTCTGGGAAAAAAAAAATATCTGTGGCTTTGTGAGAGCGATTGTGAATATATGATTCAACTAATGATTGTTGAAATGTAGTTCGATCACGATGGAGACGGAAAAGTTCCGCTGGCGGAACTGAGCCACATCTTCCGGGGAACCCCGGAAGGAAGAGATGTTCCGCAAGAAGTTATCGACGACATCTTGGATATGGCGGATTCGAGTCGAGACGGATATCTGGATTTCGAAGAATTCATAAACATGGTGACGATCGCTTCGCATTTCTGGATGATGAACATTTTTTTGTTGTTGAACGGCTTAAAATGAAACTTGTTGACAGGTGAGAGGACAAGCGATCGGTGCTCATCGACCGATGGTGAGGAGAATGGTTCAATACGCGGCATTCGTCGTAGTGCCGAGAAAAGAGCGAAGGAAAACCGTGACGCGGTACATCAATGAATATTCGTGCTTTCCGCCGCCATTGTTCATCCCGCTCATCTCAGCCATTGAGGTTGGAATCTTTGAATTGTTCCTTATTTCCCCAGGTCTCATTTTTTGCGATTTTTTCCAATGTAATCCGATGTGAACTTGAGTTGAATTCAATCCAAATTTGTCTGATTAATCCAACGCAGCTGTGTTGAGTTGAAAAATTCAAATCTTTTGCCCGTCTTCCAACGATTTGTTTTCTTTCCCCTGGGGTTTCGTGGAAGTCTTCCGATACATGGTCGTCACTGTTGAAGAGTTTTCGGAAATTTTTATTTAAATGCAATTCAACTACCGTATTCACTTGACCCTTCTATCAAATTTGAGAAGCTCTACAGCTAGGGTAAGGTTAAAATTTGTATACTTGTGTAATTCGCGTAATATGCGTCCATGTTAGGAAATGTTCCTGTTTGCTGCCCACAAAGCGCTTCTTTTCTTTGGTTCTTCTGGAATTGAAGTTGAAAATACTGTAATAAAGAAATGGTCAGCTTTTAGCGCTTGGAGGTGTGTGAATCATTCATTGCCTGAAGTAAAAAAAAAATTGTGTGACACTGTTTTACCTTTTCTGGGAAAATCGAATTTAAGTCAGAAAATGAAGTTTCTTGGAAAGTGGGACCACCAGGAAAGTGAGTGAGTTCTTATATTCGTACATTAATGGAATTTTAATTGTGTTGCATGGAAAATAGAGGGTGTTTATGTTCGTGAAAAAAAAACGATAAATGGTGAGATACAAGCAGGAATATTTTGAGGAACCTCTAATACTGTACAATATTAGCTCATGAGAAGATTTCGAGACTATGTGAAAAATTGTCAAGCTCCTGCTCTTTTCGGGGATCCAATTTTGAATTTTTTTTTCAACAACGCTTTATGGCATTTTCTTTTTCAAATGCTTGTTGCAGCTGCTGAATGGGTTGTCAAATGCTTTCTAAGTCATCATTTTTGGTATTCATCAAGAAAAGGACTAAGTTAATAATTTCTCATCTAAATGAACGAGCTACGGTTGTAGAATAAAAATCTTTGCGGTCTCCTTTTTGTGAAAGCAGAGCATCTCGAGAATTTAAGAAAAACCCAGCCCCTTTTCACTGCAGGAAATCATTCTAACGCTCGTAGTTATGTTTCATGGAGTTGGAATTTTCCCCATGCGTCAGAAATTAATTTTCCGTATTTTTAAAATGTTTTCAGATTGCATTGTTCGCATATTTCTCGTACACGACGGATGTCGAAGGGCCGATCAAGGCTGTTGGTCCGATACCCACGGAATCTGACTTGATTTACGACCCGACGAAACGATACCAAGCTTGGCGGTTTCTCAGTTACATGTTGGTTCACGCGGGATGGACACATATCATATTCAATGTGCTCATTCAGGTGGTGCTCGGATTACCGCTCGAGATGGTGCACCACTGGTGGCGCATCTTGTTGATTTACTGTGTGGGGGTCATCTGTGGATCCCTGGGTACGTCCATCACTGATCCGAATGTTTACCTTGTGGGCGCATCTGCCGGGGTGTATGCCATCATGGCTGCGCATTTATCAGCTGTTATTTTGGTGAGTTGAATTTTTTTGCGTAATTATTTTGAAGAAGTATAATTCTGAGTCGTGAGCTTCACACCTGATGACCTGAGGGTCTTTATTTTACGGAGCTGATGTTTAAAAAAAATAGACACGTGCAGGGAGGGATTATTTTATCTCTTTTTTTACTATTACAGTACTTGTTGTTTGTTCCAAGTATTGTGTAGTGTTATTGACCATTATTGGAATACCTTTGGCGTAAGGAGGTGTTAGAGATGATTTTTTTCGATACCAATTTTCAGAACTGGTCGGAAATGGACTTCGGATGGTTCCGACTGGTCTTTTTCTTCGTTCTCACCGGGATTGACGTTGGAGTCGCTGTCTACCATCGTTATATGGATGTCGATACGAAGGTCAGTTATAATCGAATGTACAGGACTGTATTTTTATTCTGGGTGGAAGTCTCGAGGGAAAGAATTTTGACAAGCGTAGTTTTTTCGGTGGAGATACAGTGACTGTATTTGCATCAAGTTGTAGTTGATCATTTAGTACTGGCCACAGGCGGCCATACTGTCCCGCGCGACAGGAAGCCCCTGCGTACTCGAATCATTTGTACCTTTGTATGAGAGGGTCAATCAGAGCCCAGCTGATGCAAGACTGCGTCTGCGTCGGTGAGGCACATTCTCGCCGGAGCCGGATCGCAGGCCGTCAGAACTCCTCTCCCCTGTGCCCCCCATCCCCTCACGCTCGGCACCCAACACTCTCTCCTGAGGTTGTGCATGAGTGACTTCAAGAATCGGGAATGCACCCCTTATGCGGGAAGTGGTGTAGCAAGTGTACACGCAAACCTTGTTAAACCACCAATGTCTGTCCAGGAGGATATTGGCGGTTTATCAGGGGTGGTGTTTTATGGGAGAGGCATACCAAAAAGGAGATTGAATCAAGAAAAACTTTTTTTTAACTTTCATCTGCAACTTCCTTCTATCTTGATCATCAGTATTTCATGGGGAAATTGGAACACATTGGAAATGTTTTTAAATATAAAAAGAGAGAATGGTGGTGTCTTTAAATTCCTTACTTCACAACATTTAGACCTTGAAGATTGCTCATTAAGCATTAGCAAGTTTGCTTATGGGTTGGAGCATCATAAATTGATAAAGGTAGTCCAAAAATTGCATGCCAAGTGGGAAACATGGTTTAATAGGATTCAAAGCCAATATTGTCATTCAATCTTTGTTGTAAGCATTGGTTTTCTTTTCCCAAATTCAAATG